CAAAGTAAAAGTAAGAGAAGAAAAAAAAACAATTACTAGTTGACATGATATGTGTTGTCGGTAACGCCTTTGATGGTGGCAATACAATTTTATGCAGTGCCACCCAATGAACCCAAACAGCAACGTAAAGTGAGCTATTTTTAGCCACGCACGACTACTACGAGCTAGGTATGTATGTATGTATGTAAAAATATAGGTATGTGTGTAATGCAAGCCATGAGACACGTTCAAGCCTACATTTAACTACCGCCGTATTGCTGCTGCTGGCCAATCGGTCAGTCAGAATCGACTAACCGCAAAGCAAATTTACTCTTATGCACAAATGTATGTACAGATGTGTAGGTATTCGTAGTGCACACCGTCTGGCAAGTCACTACTAGCCAGCAGCCAGCAGCCAACAACCGGCAGCCACCCAATGCTTGTCGCCGACAAAAGGAAGCGACAATTGGCGAGTCGAGTTGGCAGTCACGAAATAATACAAGGTTCAACTTGGCCCATATCCATTTACCCAATTCTTTGAATACGGCAGACGGAAAGCGCAACAGACGAGTAGTTAAAAAAACATTCACACAAATGAGACAGTCTAAGAAGATGAGAAAAAAAATAAAATAAAATAAAATAAAATAAAAAACAAAAAATAAAATGAAAAAACACAAATTAAAAATCGAACCAATGCAGCTGTAGGCAAACTTTAAAAATAGCATGCCATAAAGAAACAGAAATAATAAAAATAAAAACACACAAATGCGACAATGAGGTGAGGTCTCAGAATGAGAGAGCACATATAGCGCCTGATTACTCGATTCCAAAACAATTGATCGGTTTTTAAACACTTGGAATTATCGATTGCTTTAGGCATTAAAATGACTGTGTATACCTTAAGCTAACTCGCAATGGCATAAATTATTATTATTTATTTTTTATTTTTTTTTTTTTAATTTATTATATAAAAAATTATATTATTTTCATAAGAGTTCTTATAATTATTATATATAAATATCCTTCCACGTTCTTTATTGTATGTAAAGAAATTATTAATTTCCACTTGCAAATTATTTTTGATCTTCCAGATGTGTTCCCGCAACATCAAGATCTCGGTGGTGCTGTTTCTTGTCTTGATTCCACTTATCACAGCTTTGCCACACAACAATCACAATTTGTCAAAGCGAAGCAATTTCTTCGATTTAGAGTGCAAAGGTATTTTCAACAAAACAATGTTCTTCCGCTTGGATCGTATCTGCGAAGACTGTTATCAACTTTTCCGCGAGACGAGTATACATCGGCTATGCAAGTAAGTTTTTGTTGGATATACGAGAAGAAAAACAACTTTACTTAAAAAATTATGCAACACAGTGTGTACTTGAAAATGAAGAATGGGTTATGCATTAAAAAAAATAGATTGGCGTGATGTTAATTATTTTTTTTTTTTTTTTTAAATTCCTAATATAAAATAAATACCTTTCACTTAATGGCATTACACAGCTGGGATGACAGATATATCAGCTGTTTCATCTGCTTCAAATTAGCATATATTTGAAGGCGTTGATCATTTGCTAGTTTGACGGCAAGGCGTATGCTCAAAAATTATTTATTATTTTTGAAAATTTTCTTTTTTTTAAGGCAACGATTAAATTACATTAAAATTATCGATCATTCTGCTGACGTAATCGATTAATATTCCGCCAGTTTGAACAGCAGAACAACGATTTTTTTAAGCATAGCCGACTCTGATTCGTTTACACTGTATTGTATATTCAATAATATTATTCGTTAGTTTATTTAAATATTTTTATTTAAAAAGGTTTGTAAGGTAAAAATATGTCGATAAATTTATATTTATTTCACGTGTAATTAGTCATAGCGTTTGTAATTTCAATCGCTCTGCTACAAACATATTTATTTTTAGTAAAAACTTTTTATAAAATATAGAAATAAAATAAAAAAATATATGCAAATCATTAAAATAGTATTATTTTAGTTATAACCATTTAAATTTAATAAATTTAATAAAATTGAAATTTTAATTTATTCCAATGATATTCACATTACTCTACATTAATTTCTGCTGATAATTATTCGTTTTTTTTTTTAATTTTAATTAAAATAATGCTCTAAAAATAGATTTAGTAAAAATATATATTAAATAGTTTCATAATTTTTTTTAACCTTAAATTATTCCCTCATATATCCCATACAAAAATTACCACAAACACACTGTATTGTATTGTATATTATTCTCATTTAAACAGGCAAAATTGTTTTACACATGAAACATTCGGTGAATGTCTCAAAGTTCTAATGATACCAGAAGAAGAAGTTACACAACTTCAATATTTTGTTAAAGTTATAAATGGCTCGCCAATGCCATTCGCAAATTTGCAGTAAATGAGTTGCGAAACATAATGAATAACTCGTAGTGATAAATGTTATGAGAATATATGTACAATATTTTGAAAAGGAAGCGAAATAAAATTTAGCAGTGTATAACTGAATACATAAAAAAATATATATAGATTAATACGTGCTTTAGATAAATTTTTTTTACATTTAGTGTTATGTTGTTTTTGAAATTTTAAGTTCTCATTGCATTAATTATTAATATTAAAAAAATTGAAATTTAATTTTTGATATATATATTTATATTTGTTTAATAATTTAACCTTTTCATAAAATTTAAAATTTGTAATTTACTCAAAATTGTATTTATTCGTTTTTAATATGGATTTATTGCAATTATAAATTGTCTTAGAAGTTCCACTCAAATGTTAACTGCAACTAACAGAATTTTATTTGACATTGCTTAACATTTACATCAAACTGTAACTTAACACTTTACTTGACGCAGTGCCTGTTAAACCGCAAAGAAATAGCAATGTACTGTGTAAAAAACGTGCTGTTATTTATTTTCAAGTTTAAAAACTAAAAATTAGTACTTGATTGGCTGAGATTTGAATTTTTCATTTACTCGTTCTGACCAAAAACGGCTGTTGTTGATATGAAAATGTTAGCTCCAATGTTACTTTTCATGTGAAATAACATTTTACGTGTAAACTGTGAATGAAATGTACAGACGAGTCATATATTGAAGAGAAAATCAAGCGCAAGCTGCATAAAAATTTTATTTGAACAGAATTACAAAAAAAAAACAATTAATCATAAAATAATAATTATTCAAGACGAGCAGGGGCACATTTTAATTGCATCATAAATATAAATAATTTAATTGTTGGTAATTTTAGAAAGTATGCACTACATATATACTTTCATTTAAGATTGTTTTATATACAAAATAATATTTTCAACCTTATTTATCAACATTACATATTGTATTTTAGATTTGTTTTAATAATATATTTACATTAATTTTCAATATTTTTTTTAATTTTATTTTAATATAATTTTTAATAATTATTAATACTTTCATTATATCATTTATATAAAGATAATTTATTTTCAACGTCTACTTTTATACAATTTAAATTTTATATCAATTTATTGCTTTCAATTTATTTCCTTAATTTCTTTTACTTATTTTTTTTACGTTTTTTTTCTTACATTTTCTTTTAGGAAAAACTGCTTCGATTCAAAATGGTTTGGAGAATGCCTAAAAGTGCTCTTAATACCATCGGAAGAGATTTCGAAATTGCAGCACTTTATTAAAGTTATCAATGGCTCTCCAATATCATTCCCACAGTCGGTACCAACATAACTTTAGTTTAGCTGAACAGAACACAAACCGAAAAAACACTTTCCAATTTCCAATTAATTTGTACTTATTTATTATTGTATTTTACGATGTTTCTTAAGTTTAATGTTAATTTTTTATAAAAAAAAATAAATATTTTTGTTTTTAATTACACAAGTAATTATTTTTTTATGCTTAAAATATGCTTAATTTATTGAAAAAGAAAAGAAACAAAATGATGAACAGAATCTGAGTAATATAACATAAAATAAAATGGAAATTACGCTCATACATACAAATATAATATACATTATACAAAAGTGTAAAGAATGAAATTCAATATATTTATATGAACTTATTTATTATATAAGTAATTGTAATTTTAAACAAATATGAGATGTACGGAAGAAGTTAATAAAAAAAAACAATAAAACAAAGCACTGTAAACTAACAACTCAAAGTTTTAAGAGTGAAAAAAGTATATACATGGATTTGAAAACAATCGAACCCCATTTAACAGAAAGGCAGCTGTCGCATAACATGCGCTGTTAAACGGTATGTAAAACATTAATGTTATTGCGGTACTGTGCTGTACTGTACTGTACTCTACTGTTTGTAGTGTAAAGAAGTTAAAGTGCTGAAATATACAATAAAAATCTCTGCGACAATCAATAAAAAATACACCGTTATAACAATGTTTCTCAACCACATACTCAACATCACTAAAGCAGCTTTTATATGCATAGAACACATCTCGGGAATATAAGGAAATTAATTGCAAAAGTATTGATTAATGTTTTTATAAATATATATTAACATTTTTTTTATAAACAAAAAATCACTTAAGCTAACTTTGAGTTTTTGATTTACATAGTGCACGTATGTATGTATGTACGTATGTTGGTATAGAAGTATGCGAAAAATGTGAAACTATTATTGTAGTAAGTGCTAATTCATCAACTATTAAAAGTGTTTTAAATAAGCACAAGTGCGTTATATTTTGATTTAAAAGAAAAAAAAACATTTTTCATAGCAAAAAGTCAAAAAAAAAATATTGAATAAAATTTTGCAATTTGTGAAAAACACACAAAAATTCAGTTATACACAAAAAACACACTTAAATGCATAAATTTAAATATTATTTTACACTTTTAAACCTGTAATTCTTCATACAACCGTTATTCTATACATGTATATATTTCTTTTATGTAAATGATATATATATATATAAGACAGTTTGAGCACTTTAAGAGTTTCTAATTTTTTTATACAAATAAATACAAGTATATACATATATGTATGTAATAGAAATGTATACATGAATTACTATATATAAAGAAAAAAAATTTTTAAATGTAAAAAAAAAATTGTCAAAACATTTTAAAAAGTAAAAAAGATGGCAACAAGTTATGGTAAAGAATTGCGCACATCCAAGCATACATATGTACATACGTAAAAACAAGCGATAATGTGCCCAGTGCATACAATATACATATACATATGTATGTAGTATATGTGTATGTAAATATATATACATATGATATGTACGTGAATATTGCCGAAATTTGTTAGCAAATATTTACTGAAATTATTGTGATAAAGTAGTAGAACGACAAGCAAGCATAAATATGTAGTAGAAAGTAATGTTGTAAAATGTAAGATTGAGGCAGTAGGGAAACAGCAAACGAATTCTCCAAAAAAAGCAACACACAATGTCAACTAAGCATGTACACAAACACACATACATACGTGTATTTGCAGAGAAGCGGACAACATCGTCCGAGAGCGCAACGCGTGGCAGCCACTGTCGTGTGTAGAACTTAACGCTGGAGCTTGGTGTCCTGGATTAATTACACATACACATGCATATACCGATATATATGTATGTATATAACTACATATATGTGCATGCATAGGTGTGTGCAGTGCAGTTTGAGGTCGTTAAATTTTGTGTAGTACTAAAAAATACAACAACACACAACCACACATGTACCAGTGCAATAACAGCAACAACAATACTGAACTCTTGATTTTTTTGGTATGTTTGATTTTTTATCATTTTTCTTCTTTGATATCTAACATTTTTTTGAATTAATTTTTTCCCCCATTTTTTATTATATTTTATAAATTCAAAAAAAAAAAAAAAACATTCAACAGTCTTATAAGGATGTTGTTAGCCACACATGTAAATGCCCTGTAAAGGTGTTTAGCTTGTGCGCCTTGAAGTAGGTTATGTTTTTGAGCTTGAGCAGCAATAGTTTTGAATTTTTAGCTGCGTTTTTTTGTTTAATATTTACTTTGATTAATTGTAATTTTAAATTTTGCAAAAAAAAAAATATGTGAATGAAATAAAAAAAAAATATATAAAATCAAATAAAAAGATAATTTTTAATTGATACAAAATAATTTATCTTTTAATTTGTTTTGTCGTATAAATCCCAAATTTGCTTTTAATTTTTTTTAACATTCAGTATAATTATTCAACTAAAAATATAATAAAAAATGTGTATATCTTTACATATTAACATAAAAAAATTATAATATATATATATAAAAATATAATAAAGAAAACTTATTATTAAATATAATATTAATGTTTTCAGTTCTTTTTAAAAAGTAAAAAAAATATATATTTTATTATATTTTATTAAAGAGTAATGCAATTAAAAATATTGATTTTATCAGTTAAAATTAAAATAAATATATATGTGCATATATTATATATAAATTTTTATAATAAAAATAATAATGCAATTATTAACATTATTTTTTTCAGTTTTGATTTAAATTCGAAATATATACTTTTTTTTGTTAGAATGAAACTGAATGAAAAGTAAAATATATCTTTTGGCTTTTGTGTCTAATTTTTTGTAGTGAACAAATAGTAAATCTTAATATTTTTACAGTTTCCTGAGTCCACCAAATGAACTTTTTAGGTTTTTCATGTGGAAATAAGATAAAAATTTTATAAATATAAATGTATTATTTTTAAAAAATTAACAATATTTATATATTTTCTTGTTCAATTATAATTTAAATTAAAACAGTATCTTTCGTTTAATTTTTTTATCCACTTTTAAACAATTAAATTGAAAGTATGTTTTTTGTCTGGAATTCTGTTTTACAATTTTTTGTAATATACCAATATTAATATTAGCGAACTCAATTATGAGGTCCTCAGTCAAAGGAATTTCCATATTTTTGTATGTGGAATACGCTTTTGAATTATATAAATATTAAAAAAGGATTCAAATAACCTAAATAATATTATATATCGTACTATTAAGATATTACTAACTAATAAACATACATATGTATGTATATACAAATATATTTGCACATTTGTATACAATTTTTTGCCTAACTAACAAGAAATTAGCAAAACATTTTTACGCCCATAGAATTTCAATGCACCATTTTGATCGAAATTCTATCAACTGAACACGCATCAATTTTTACACTGCGTATGAATCAGTATTTTTTTTTTTTAATTTTTAAAAATATTAAAATTTTAATCTTTACAAAATGTCTAATAACACTATTGTTCTCTATACTCATTCACACAGGCAAGATTGCTTCGGTTCACAATTCTTCGCCGCCTGCGTTGAGGCACTACAACTGCACGAAGAAATGGACAAATACAATGAGTGGCGTTTCACACTTGGCAAGAAGTAAAGTGTTCCACAATTGACGCTTTACTCTATCCCACCACACCCCCATGTTGATGACGACCAACGTAAGATATTCAGGCGGAGGCTGCGTGAAGAGCGACGAGTGTGTATGGATTGCCTGTTTATGTTTGCTTTTGTTTGGATGATGATGACGACGACTAGGACCAGAACACTGGATTATGTTATGTTAAAAAAAAAACAACAACAAAATTAGAGATATCAATAAATATAAAGTTTAATCATATAATAATTGCTGGTTATGACCATGAGAACGATAAGGATAATGATTACAACAATAATGACAACAACAATAGCAGCAGCCAAGCATGAATTTTGTATATGGCTTAATATGAATATTGCGAAAAGATTTGTATTGAATTTTAAAATAAAATATGACGAAAAAAAAATTGAAAAAAACTATGAGAACAAATGCATATTATCAATGAGATTTTATTAAAATATACATAATTAAAAATATTTAGAAAAAAAACTCAATTATTCAAATTTCAATTTCAAACACATCTAACCAACTAAAATTTGTTCGTTGATGTTCTTTAATGTCTGTGCAAAGCAAAATTTTAGTAAAGCAAAAATAAAAAAAAAAATATAGAAAAAAATTAATAAAAAGTTTTATTCAATTTGTAGACATACATATGAAATTATTTGTGAATCAAACAAAAATGGTTTATGCACAAAAAATGTTAAATGTAAGCATAATGGTATTTACAAATTAAAAGGTTTGAACAGAAAGAATGATTCATTTAGTGTTTTTTTATTGTATAAAGTATACGTCTGCGTTTACTATATCCGTCTTCAGTGATTAATTTTTTTATATCTTTCTTATTGGAAATATTCATTGCAAAACAAAAAAAAAAACTAAAAAAGCAAACAAACGAAACCGTGCGAATAAAAGCTAAAGTCCGATTGCATTGAATTTAAAATTTAAATGCATAAAGTCGATTAAATCGAACCGATCGATGGCGATAACAAAACAAAGATAACAAATGCAGCAAATAAACGACAAATATGCACATTAGCTAGCAGTTACACATACATACCCACAAACAAGTATTTTCAATGTCTGATGTAAATAGAAGATTCATTATTATTTTTAATATTATTATAATTGTTTTTTAAATTATACTTTGTAGTTATATTTATATAAACATACATAATATATGTATATTAATTATTCTGTTAAAACTATTAATTATTATAAATTATAATTTATAGTTTATAAGTTTAGCAATTATTAAATCGTGAGCTTTTAATTTTTCACAATCAATTAACTATATATGTATGTATACACAAAAATATATTAGATATGTATTAAAAAAACGACAGCAAAAGAGTATTTTTAATTTGTAAATTATTTTTGCAATAATATTTTTAAGTTATTTTTATTAAATGTCTAAATACATAGTTTTCATATACTGTATTAACGCTACTATATGATTTTTTACTGTGCAAAAAAAAAATTAATAAGTATAAGCGTCGCCCCCTAAACAACACATGTGTAAATGCAATAGACCACAAATGACGGAAAATAGTGTGTAGTTGGCAGTGAAGCTTTACAGACATTTTTTCATTTATACATAAACATACATGCACACATGTCTAAAATTTAAAAATAAATATTACCGCAATCGTATACACACAGCAATGTAACTATCGCTAAATGTTTGTACAATCTATTTTAATTCTGTTTTACCAATTTCCATTACACAATAAAATGTTACATACATATTTAATATTATTATTATAATTATAACTTTATTGTTTAAATTTTTGAGTTTTTTTATAATTATTACATTTAAATTAAAACTTCTTTGGATCTAGTCGTAAAATAAAGATTGTATAATTCAAACTCTACAACACTGTTGTTTTCTTTATCTAACACAATATAGTTGTATAGTATTTCTATTTGGGCTTTTTCTATTTTGTTCATGTAAGTATAATATAATATTTACTTTATAAAATAGTTTCTGTGCCAATACCGCTGTAAAAGGTAGCTCACGATTGACTTACATGATATTTTCCTTTGATGTGTTTTGTGCATTTCTTGATAAATGAAGAACCTTTTAAGCCGTCTTGGACGGGATAACGAGTTTTTTTCTGTACAACTATTACTTTCATATCAGACATGCTAATGAACGTATTTGCATTACTAACCGCGAGACGACCGAATTTAAGTTAATAATATTAAGATGTTCATTTAGTCTATACATTTCAAACAACGACTCCCGTCTATAAACTTGAATGACTAGCCGATGCGGCACACTTTTAAACAGACTAAATTAACTTTTATGGTTATTTTTTATAATATCTTAGAAATCACATTGATATTTTTCTTTGCTCAGCAATGCAGAATAACTGGCATAACGGCGTATCCTTGTCATTTCCTGCAACATTAAAAATTCATAAGGAAATCTATTGTGGAAAGTAGACAAAGGGTGAGCTCTAATTGTTTGAAGTGAAAACTTAAAGTGATATATAATTGGACTCTCTTGTTTATTATAAAGCTTTAATTCGAAGATATTTTACACAAATAACTTTACGTTTAAAATGTTATTATATATGATATTATATAATAGTATAAATAGCAATTTCAATTTAAATTTTTAATTTACCTGCCATACTACTGTTATATTTTCCAGCACCCTACGCCGTTCCATTCCCAATTCGTTTGCATAATTTGGTCACGTTCGGTTGGGAAAGCAAAAGATAATATTTTGTGTATTTTTATTCATAATGGATTCAAGTGCTGAAATAATTAAATTGGATAGTGATATTGAAGATACATATGAAAATATACCTAATACATCCACAGTAGATTTAACCTCAGACAATAGCATAAATGAAATCGCTGATATACAGTTGCCGGCTGCTGTCGAGTTGACGGACATGGGTGCTGTTGGAAACGATATCGAAGAAGGTGAAGTAGAAGAAGCGCAGGAAGCCGAGGAATTATATGAAGCAACAACAAGTAAACAAATACCAGCATTTGAAATCAGATTTTCAAATGATAATATATTTAAAGAATATGGCCATAGTATTTTGGCTTCACTTGACACAGCACTCAATGCCGCTATGGACAAGACAATGTTTAAATTTAACATATTGGATGGCCAAGAAGATGAAAATATTACCGTAAATAGTTGTATAAAGGCATATATTGTACCACGAAAAGATGCCGATAATACAGTGTTGGAGGTTAGCGATTGCGAGGAAGCTATTGTGAACACTATGAAAGAGCCGATTCGCTGTAAATCCCCTGAACGCGAAGAGTCACCTGATTTAGATTTAACTTCACTCTTTACAATTGACACATCAGGCTCGAAAAAACTAGACACACAATGTGTACCTTCCTATAAACGTACTATTAAAGATGTTTTGGATGAAGATTCATCTGCCAGTAAGCGACGTAAATTGGACAAAGAAGAAGATGATTGCCCCCGAGTACGTACAACGTCAGCTTGTTTTAATTGTGGTGTAACTGGACATTCGTTACGTGAATGCCCGAAACCACGCAACAATGCGCGTATTAACCGTGCGAAGCTGGCGCGAAAGCAGGAGAGATATCATATTGATATTGAGCAAAGATTTGGACACTTACGACCGGGCAAAATAAGTGATAAACTACAATCAGCCTTGGGTTTAAAACGAGGCGAACTACCATTCTTCTTCTATCGTATGAGGAAATTAGGTTACCCGCCCGGTTGGTTGGAAGAAGCAAAAGTAATAAACTCGGGCATATCGCTAATCAATTCTGATGTGAGTAGATTAATTTCCTTAAAAAAAAATGCCAATACGCTTTTACTTTTTATTTTGATAACAGGGAAGTGCGGTGATAGGTTCTGATGAAGAGAACTCCCAAGACAGTGATGAACAAAAATATGATATTTCTAAAATAGTTGACTTTCCCGGTTATAATGTTGATCCCGGACCAAACTTTTATGATGTAAGTTGCCTTAACTTTATTTGTAACATTAAAAATATATATGTATAAATGTTCAAGGACTATAAACACCACAATGTACCACCATTATCACGACATCATCGAAGAGAGGAGTTTATCAAAATGTTGGGTAACAACGTCATAAAAGGCTACAAGCATAAGCGGCTTAAAAACCTGCCACAAACCACGAATGTCACTGAAATTAAAACTAGTATACTGGACAGCGCTGATATGGAAATTGAAGATGATGTAGATATTGACAGTAATGTTGTATTTACTCGCCCACCACCACCACCAGAGCCAGCCGGCAATGCTAAACCTCCTCCACCACCACCACCACCAACGTCGCCACCGCCAACAGTTTCTTCACTCACTGAGCATTTAAATGTCGAAAATTCCAATTCAAATGAACGTAGCTGCTCACCAACATTAGATGATTTAGAGGAACGCAAACAAAAGTTACTTGCCGAATTAAAATGTGGCTTAAGTGATGCTGATACAACGCAAAGTAGCATAAACGATGAATCAATCACACTTGAAACTAGTACAAATGAGGTGAATACAGAGGATGCGCCGAAACTGCCGAACACGAACGAAACGACGGAAGTGAGTGTGCCAGTAACACCAACATCAAATGGCGCCACCCGAGCTATAGATGTTATTAAAGAATCACATATGGGCACGCCTGTATTGCAATTTTCACCTTATGAAAAACTACCAATTGGTGATAATTTCAAAGTTGGTGTTAGCGATGTTATAAATTTTGAAAATCTGCCAGACTCCACTGGGAAATATGAGCAAATGAAAGAGGTCATTAAGAAAGTACGCAACATCATTACTAAATTACACAATGAAGATGATGACGATTGATGTGCAGTTTACGGTGGGGCTATGCCTGACATGTTTAGCATTATTTAATTAATTCTATAAAATTTGCATTTTTGCGTTTTTTTCTTTGGCATGGTTGCGTGTACGTGTGTTTGTAGCTAATTTTAATTAACTTGTAATCAGACAATACATAATTGCAAAACTATACAATTTTATTGTACGTAAAAGTACAAAAGTAAAGAATCTTATTTATGTATATATACATACGAGTGTAATTATTTACATGCCTAATTTTAATGCAAAAAAAAATACTTTTTGTTCAAAAAGAATTAGAGAAAAAGAAATTATGACGTCTTTTCGTATAATTAATAATTTTGTGATTTTATTTGATTTTTTTCTTAAACGCTAACGGTTGTCGCATATCAATATTATACATTTTAAAAATACTTTTAACTACCGTTGAGAAAACGAAATATATTTTTACTTTACGTATAATTCCCCAATCGAGTCGAGAATTATGCAGCTGCTTTCCAAACTTTTCATTTCAGCCTTTATATTTACATAAATATATTTTTTGGATGTAGTTTAGCACTTTTGTAGCCTACTGTTAGGCGCAGAGTATGAAATTGCAGTAAAAAGAAACCCCTATACAAATGATAAAAAGGTAAGAAAACATTTTGTTCTACTGAAAAATTAATTTAAAAAAAAATAATAACATGCGAGTGTTGGGAATATGCTTAGCAAGATTATACCGCTTTTGCGTACAACTGGTATAAATCATTTTAAAATATTAAAATAGACAAGTAAATGTTTGTAAATTTATTTATTGAAATAAGGCGTGTGAAATTAACATCAAAAATTACCATTTATCTACATAGTGCACTTCAGCTTACATTGCAAGTTGCAGTATATTTGAAGTATATGCTTAAAGAGAGAAAATATATTTATAAAAATGTACGGGTATTGACATACATACAGTGCGCGAATGTATGTTAATAACTCACAATCAACAACAATTTGTACGGTGAAGCAATTAAAATTTTACGAAATATTTATTTATTTTAAAATTATAAGTTTTTCTATGCACACATGAAATTAAATATTTAAATTCTTTTCTTAATCAATGCTGATGTATAGATTTTTTTTTAGTACATTGGGCCAATAACCTTGGCTATTTCAGAGAGCTAAATTAATTTATCACTTGCAAACTCATACGTACATACATATGTGCATAACCCAGATATGTAGCGTATATATATGTATATTTTTTATTTGTTTGTTTGAATTTCTAAGCATTTTGGATGTGCATAATTGCGATTGAACAACTTCTGGAATGGTTTTTGCAAAGGCAGCGAAAAGCTTTCTATTTTTAAGCATTAAAATACCCAAATCTCTTGCTAAAATTTTAATTTTCTGGTACACGTGAAAAATATTAATTATTAATTAATTAATTTATACGCTATTTCCGATAATTTGTTGGGTAAAATGCTTAATTTTAATTATTTACGCACTCCAGTCAATTTTTTTTTTTAATAGTAAATAGAGTAAATTCGCACAGGGTTAGGCCGATTGAAAAGCACAATATGTGAATGAGACTTTGGAAAGTTTGAAAAATAGAGTTAGCACGAAAATTCGGGGCGTTCACTTAAGTATTGTGTAGAATTATTGTTGTTAGATAGGTATATAGTTTATTTTGCATTTACATTTTGTACTCAATGAAATGCCCAATATTAATTGACTGCAGGCGGTGCCGGTGGTGGCGGCGGCGGTGGCATATCGCCATTGGGATCCTGCCTTCGCGAACGCCGTTTTGTATTTGTTAATTTCAAGATCGACTCGGGTCTTATCAAATACATGAGCACAGCGAATATCATAAGCATTGTCATCATAGTAAAGTTACCCTCCTCACCGCCGGTTGGGTTAGCTTCACGTACGCGTCCAGATACTGAAAGTGAGTGTGAAATATATATGTTTTATTAGTAAATGATATATGTATGTATTTATGATTTTTCTTTATAAAAAGGGTGTCTACTTACTGTCAATGCATTCCGTATCAGTACAATGATTTTGATTCTGACGAATCTGCAATTTCATTTACATACATATAATATTATGTACAACAGTTTATTATATACCCATATTGCTTTATGTAGGGTAGGTAGCCAACTCACCATCGCCAAAAGCCGCTGCATAGCGTATTCATGCGACCAAACGCATTCGCAACCATCGAATTCATCAGCCATATTTTTGTGATGCGTCAAGCAGCGTTACGATTTGTACAACTGTCGGGATATAAAATAAAATACAATTTCTTAATAACGGCGCAAAACGTATTGCTACATACATATGTATACATAAATGAAAAAAAAAAAAACAAAAAAAAAAAACGAAAAACAATCGCTGGCGAGTGAATGAGTTAAATGCAAATTGTTTAGCCTATTTGTCGCAGTTTTAAATTATTGTAAAACCAAGTCTGTGTACATATGTAAGATAAATAACTGACGTGTCCCATTCAACAACGTTTTAAAAATGTGTTAAACGTTTTTTTTATAAAGGCGGGAATTAGCAAAAAAAAAATTAAAAATATATTTTTATTACAACCGAAAAAATGTTTAACATTTCTTTGCTTTTCACTCTTTTCGCTCTAATAATTCCACTTAACACGCAATACTACTAATATTAATAACAAATTAGGCTTTCGAATTTATTATATTAACCTTAATCTAAAATTTGTTTATATTTTATTTTTGAAAAATTAGCCTTACTTGGCGATTATGCAGTCTTCAGTCTACTGATAAAAACGTTGAGTGAGAATTGAGTTGTATGAACACACAAAAAACAAAAGGCAAAATAATTATTAATGTTTTGCTCGCTTTATATTTATTTATAGGGTTTTGCAATAAGAGTTGTTATTTTGCAATTCAGAAGTAATTTTCGCCTTAAAAGGTCGATGATTTCGTTGCTGCTGTGGCACGTAGCGTCGTCCTGATCAACATCATTTAACTGCAACCATAAAGCACGCAAGACTATAAACCACACTAAAGAGTTTCGCGTTGAGGTTGCAGAGGCTTTTCAACAATAAATCAAGAGTTTTTCGAGTACCGTTTCGCGTACTGACCTAGTCATCGAGTTGGAAATGGGCCTCTTCAGTCAAGGTTTATACAATAAAAGGTTACAAATTACAAAAGGCAGCATCATATGTTTTTTAATGACGAAATTGGTTCAATTTTGTGGATTTTCAAAATTTTATCTATAAAACAACTTAACATTCTGAGTATAAATTCCAAAGCCTTGCATTGAAATTGCAAAAAAATTTTTAAAATTAATAATAATCACCATTAAAATGTTCTGAATAGTTTTATGTCGAACAATTGTATTTTAGTTTTAAAAAAAATTTTAAATTATAACAATTAATATTATTTTTGAACAACAATTTCTATAGCTAGCAACTCTAATTTATGGTCTTATGTAATACGAATGACATGACATGAGAAAATAGTGTCAAAAACATTTAAACTTTTCAAAGAGAACGCGCAAATTATATAAAATATTTAATAAAATAAAAAAACCGATTTTCGCATATTTTCTTTGTCCACCAAAGAGCTTATGGGATTCTTATCTTGTGGAAAAAATCCCGTATAAAAATTCGAAGCGGTGAAAAGTTGTACAGTGTGATATTGTTGACAAAAATTTGTTAAAAAAAAATTGTGCGGGTGATTCATATTAATATTTTTTTTAACTAAAAGAAACATGTGATACTGTAAAATATTTGTTAACCGCTTCTCTTTATGAATTTTTTGATACAATTTGTTGGGCTGAAAACCTGAAGTTTTGGCATTAAGAAAACTTGAATTCAGCGGATAGGTAGCCATACAATATATTTGCAAGAATGAAGTATTCATTTGCAAAAAAAAAAAATGGTACTTACGTATTAAATTTATGCCATTATTTGGTGGTATTCGGCCTACTCGATCTTGGTGTGACCAAAACCCTAGAGGCTTATTTTTCGCTTTTTTTTTTGCCTAACCTTTTAATAAAAAAAAGTGGTCGAATATGTGTTGGTGGTGGCGTTAGTACGTAAAATCAAAAACAAAATTTCTATAATTTTGTATTCTCTTCTGTACAAGAAATGTTTCCCATGTTTATGCATGTAACATTTATGAAAAAAAAATTGTTTTTATTAAATAATGTGAAATTCCGCCCACTGTATATATGACGATATTGGTTCGGTGACGTCAACGGTTGTCGGAACCTTGTATTTTAAAAAACCTTGCTAACATACACGGTGTGTCCTAAAAATAACCAAACTTTATATTTAAATCGTACAACATACAGCGCCATCTATTGAAAATTTGCAACATTAAAAAGATACATTCATCATCTTTCAAACGCACCTAACATCATCATCATGTAAGTCGGATGACAGATGTAAAAGTGACAGCCATTTCAATAAAACCAAAAGTGCGCTAATGGTTCAAAAACCAAATGAAGCAAAGAGCAAATACAAAGTTTTGTGTCAAACTTGAAAAAAAATTAATGAAAAAAGTTCAATGTGATGATTGTATGAGTCGTGCGCAAGTTTATACGTGGTTTACACGATTTAAAATGGTCGTGAGGATTTAAATGGCGACCTTAGAGCAGGACGTCCAGAAACTAGCAATCGTGTTGAACTGGTGGAAAAAGCTCGTGAAATCATTGGTATCGGTGCAAATTTTACTACAAGAATGTTGGCTGTGGAATTGAATACGAGTAAAAACACTTTTTGGAGAATTTTAACTGAGGATTTGGGGAAAAGAAAGGTCTGTGCGCGATTTGTTACACATGAATTAGATGACGACCAAAAAATCGATCGAATTTTTTAATGAAAAAAGGGATTTTTCTCATCGACCATCCTCTATATTTTTTATTTCCAAAACTGAAAACCAAGATGAAGGGAGCATTTTATGATGATATCCCAGCCATTCAAGCAGCCGTAACCGAGGTACTGAATGACATTTCTATGAATGACATAAAAAAATCTATACATGCGCTGGTTGATCGTTCCAAACGTTGTGTTGAGTCAAATGGAACCTTTTTTGAATAAATAATAACTTTCAAAGACTATATAATGTGTATTTTATTTTATATCCAAAAAGTTCGGTTATTTTTAGGACACACAGTGTACAAATAAATTTCTAATCTAATGACATCGGAACTCGGCACCAAAACGAGTATGTAATAGAATATGAGCCAATTACTTGAAGGTCAGATATTTGATGTCGACGCTTACAATACAGCAAGCTTAGAATTTATAAAAACAAAGTAACAGTAAGTAGAATGTAAAGTAAAAGCAATAATATTTTAAGCTCAAATAAAGTGTACATATATACATCCATATTATTAAAAATACATGAATGCAAGCACATTAGGGTGAGTCAAAAACTAACCTAACGCCTTTGGGGGGTTTTCATGGGAACAGTTTTATTGAGAAAACAATGTCCATGTAAGCCACAAGCTAGAGGGGTCAGAGAGAGAAAAAATCATATCAACCAGAAAGCGAACAGAAAAAAAAGTAAAGACACCTCTAACAAATATTGATAGACATAAAATATCGAAGAGAATAATTTTCGATCCCAAATTCAGTATATCCCTAGGAAAAAAGGTCATGAATTAAAACAAGAAATTAGACCACACTCTCACATATAGTTCACAGACGAATCAAAGACTGTAGAAATAATTGGTGCGGAGATCACGGGTGAAGAAGGTGAAAGATGCTGATAACCGTTAGTATGAAGAGCCACGATGACTTACGAAAGGTTTCAAGACCGGAGCAGACTCTTGTAGGACAGAAAGAGGTGATCTAGCTACCGATGCCCAGAGTATGTTGAATTTATGGAAGGAACACTTCTCCAACCTGCTGAATAGTAGTGAAAATGGGGAATCCGAAGATGGTGAACCCTAAATCCCAATCGATGACGATGGAAAAGACGTTCCATTACCTGACCACGAAGAAGTTCGAACAGCAATCGTCCGCTTACAAAACAACAAAGCTGCGGCCAAAAGGTACTACTGGGACTGAGCTGGAAATTGAAAAGAAAAGTCCTCTCCCTGTGAACGAAAAGCAAACTCTACAAGTCCCTCATAATTCTCGTTCTGTTTTATGGTGCAGAAGCATGGAAGATGACAAAATCTCATGAGACGGTGTTAGGAGTTTTCGAGAGAAAGGTTTGGAAATATCGCAGACGGTTGAATGATGAGCTGTGCGAGTTTTACGGCGACATTGATGGTCCGTGTGGATGCGAATACTTCAGCTTTGAAAGTTTTCGATGCAGTACACGCTGGTGGAAGCTGAGGAAGAGGAAGACCTTCACTCCGTTCGGAAGACCAGGTAGAGAAGCTGTACTTGGAATTTCCAATTGGCGCTAAACAGCAAAAAAGAAGAAACGAATGGCGCAATGTTGTTAAATCGGCTATAATCGCCAAAGCGGTGTCTACGCCAATATAGTAAGTAAGTAAGCTGAACTTTACAAAAGGTCGGTTCATTTGGGTTCCGGAACATATAGACATTGGATGGAATGGAATAGCCGATAAACTTGCGAGAGATAATGGTACACTAGTGACGGGTTGAGACAAACAAAAAAACTCAGGACGGGCATAGTAATACCAGAGAAGAGACATAATATTACTAAGTAAGAATAACTGAGTAAGCGTATTCATAGACTCCGAATCAGCTATCGCTGTTACAACACCAGAGACACCGTTACAATTACTGTTTGAATGAGAAACTTTCGCCCGAAAGAGACTGAAACATCCAGAAGTCTTGTAAGTCGGATCACATTATTTCAATTAACCCTTCTAGTGTGCTAGGTTTTATAAGGGCGTTAGGACTGTTTTAAATTATATGAATGAATCGGAGGACACAGTAGACCACTGGTGGTCAACTACTAACTCATCTGTCTATCTTTTCAACACCAAAAAAAAATCGGTTCTTGTGTTAGAACATAAAATGTATTATACATATCATAGAAGCCTTCAAAAGTGTTAAAATCTCACTAAAATTGCATAGTTTGTTTTTTAGGTTTTATTTCATTTTGAAGAAACGCGATAGGTTAATTTAGGGCTCACCCTAATATGCATATGTATCTCTAATTAACAAGAAATTTTCGATTTTTTAATAACGGTACCGATTTGTTATGTTTTTTTTCCAATTCGTTGTTCTAGGCATAACAGGAGCAGTAATTCTTTAAAATAATTTAATTGCTATAAAACTATCATTTTTCTTTATATTGATTGATTCTTTTAGAAAAATTTATTAACAGCTATTTATAAATAATTTACGAACAAATATGGCAGAAAATAGTTAAAATTTTATATTAAAGTTATTATTTTACTTTGTTTTTTATTTTTTTATTTTCCGTATAGTATGCGCGAAATGTCCTAATGTTTATTTTCACATCTTTTGCACTTTTCTATTTCCCTTCGCGTACAATAAAGGCAACAATAGTCCATACATATATATATTAGTATAGTCACTGAAATCCAGTTTTGTTCACTTGCTACCCCACTGCACTTTCCCCTTTGCAAGTTTTTCCTATATAAATTATTAAATGCTTGGAGGTTGATGTAATACATACATATGTATATATTAATTTCTTTTACACATGCATACGTATTCGTTAAATACTAACACAAATTCTTTAATTTGTTTTCTTAATTATTTTTTATTACCTTTTTTAACAACTCCGAAAGTAGCTGAAATGATGAATGTTTTGGCGATGGTTGCTCCTCCCAGTTTTTCCTATACGTTAATTTGCCACAACAGACTGATGTAAACCGAAAACCGACGTTGATGACACGTATTAATTATTTTCCTTTATGCATTGGTGTTCACAATATTTTCACTTAATTTTTACACACTCTCTTAATTTGCGTAGAAGAAAAAAAAACTAATCACAAATTGTTCGAATTGTATGTGAGAAGAACGAAGCAATGGAAAACAACAAACTAGAAAATTTATTTCAAAAAGCAAAAGTCAAATTAAAGAAATATACTGGGGAGTTGCCATAACAATTTTATATCTTGGTTAACAAAAAACCAAGTAATCGATTGTATTTTTTCCTTTCTATGCATTTTGAAAATAATAGTACATAATACACTATATTATTTTTTTAAAAAAAAAGTTGAAAGATCCTTCAAAAGTTACTCCAATAAATGATGCATTACAAACATTTCACATCGATACAATATAAATCGACTATTCCAGTTGTAACTTATGACACCACCAACTTCAAAAACAGCTGTTATTTTATTGTTAACGAAGCCGCCTAAACTATTCTTTTTATAAACAATTTGTATTTTTTTAATAAAAAGAAATATCGAAATTTTTACGTCTACTACTGCAAACCTTAACTCACAATGACACATCCTGTAGAAATGGTGACCGCTTCACGGAAGTATCCTTTCGCTAAAATGCGCCTAGATGACACGCATCAATTGGATGAAATTGAAGGACGTTTCACCTGCGTTCATTGCAATCGTTCACGTAAATTCTATTGCTACAATTGTTATGTACCCGTGGGCAGTGTTGGCGACTTCCTGCCACATGTAGAAATACCCATCGACATTGATATCATAAAGCATAAAAAGGAGATTGATGGCAAGAGCACATCTGCACATGCCGCGGTTTTGGCTAGAGATCGCGTAAAAGTATATGAATATCCTGATATGCCAGACTATTCAAAAATGGATGGAGTTATACTGATTTTTCCAAGCGTCAAAAGCTTAACGGTACCACAATTATTCAATCAACCAGTACGGCTAAAAACTGAAAATAATTATGGTTTGCCAAAGGGACACAATATCGGTACGATGTTAAGATGGCGTATAGATGAAGTAAAGGATGAAACAGTGAAAGATGTGGAGGACTGCACAAATATAGTATATACATATGAGAATCTACCTGTGAAACGTGCAATATTCATTGATAGCACATGGAATCAAAGTCGGGGCATCTATAAAGATGAACGCTTAAAAGGTTTACCCACCGTCGTCTTGCAGAATCGTTATTCACAATTTTGGCGACATCAACGCGGCAGTCCACGTTGGTATCTCGCTACTGTGGAAGCCGTACATCAATTCCTACTCGAAGTGCACGTTAATGCGTGGGGTTTGAATCGAGATTATCGCGGTTTGGATAATCTGGAAATTGGTCAAGGTTTTTATGACACAGCGCGTTTAGTGGATGCTGATGTGGCAAATGTAGCACGGGACGCGCCCTATAATGGACAATATGATAATTTATTATTTTTCTTTGCCAATATGTACGACATAATACATAGATATTATGATCATAATCAATTGAAATCATATCGGAGGCCTATATAAGATTTTGGTTAGTTTTATATAAGTAAAAGAAAAATAAAAGTTATAGATTGTAATGAATTTTTTTAAATAATTTTATTTTAGCTGTGTGGAAAACTTCTGAAGTTTGTTTGTATTTATTTTAAATTATAAAACGTTGTAATTATTTAAAGCACTTAAATGAAGGATGTATTTCAATTCAGTTAAAATATAATGTAAGTATGAAGGAAATAAACTTTAATTATTAAAAAAAAAGTTTTCTTAAGAAAATTATAGAAAAAACAATAAAATTTTGGAAATTTAAGCATTGCATTATTCTTCATAACTATTTAAATACCACCCACTCTGTTGCTAGCAAACATTTGTTTTTAATGTTATTTATACTGAATAAAAAGTCACTAGTTTTTTGTTAAACACTTTTTGCAAAAGCATTCTCTTTATTTTTAATATTTTTTTTTTTGTTTCACTTTCAAGTAAGTATATATATATTTATATATTTTATATTATATAGATAGTTGATGGAATTAATATGTATGAATGTGTTTTTATAAGTTATTTACTTGTATTCTGTGTATGTTTGCATGTCTTGAATCTATAGACATACCGCTGAGGGATGTCACTATTCACAAGTTACACATCGCAATACCGTAAATGCACATTGAAAACACTAAATAGATACATATGTTGAATATATATGTATGTATGAGCACGTAAATTGTCACATACATATAAATAAATATTGTGTATATAACTATATAATGTATAAATAATGTGCATTTCCGGTATATTGTATTATGTAACCTGTAATTTATTTTCTGAGCGATGTGTGTGTGTGTGTGGGTGCATTTGTATGTGTGTTTCAGTATAATTCAATTTATTTGAAACAGAAAAAAATTCACTACTGATTGCACAGTTTAATTTTACTTGTTGCTGCTGCTGCATTATGTTTAAATTGAATATATTTTTGTTTTTCTTGTTTTTTTTTTTGTTGTTATGTTTTAGCAAAACGTATATTAACGGCATACAATATTTACGCAGTGTACATATCGACATGTAAATGTGTCGTATTTTCTATTTTCAGGCCTACTTTTAGGCGTTCACCTGGTGAATAATTTGTTTATTTTCTTTTTTTTCTTGTGTAGGGAATAATTTCTTTTTTGTAAGTATGCAATTTATATTATTATTATTATTATTTTTTTTTTTTTAAATATGTGGATGTGTTTTCTTTTCGGAGGTTGCTTGGGGGAAACATCTAATTGCAATCGTAAAACAAACAAGCACGAGGCTACGTTCAATTTATAATTATATTTGCATGTGTAAGTGTGCGTGTGTGTGAAAGGGGGGGGGGGGGGATTTATGTGTATGCATTCCATTCAAAGAAAAACTTAATCGTTGGCGCTGGCGGTCAATTTGACGCGATTCCACATTTTATATATGCACATTTGTATAGGTTTTTTTCTTTTCTGCATTTACATGGTTCCTTCGTATTATTCCTTAGGCGTAATACTTTTTTGTATTAATTCTTCGTAGTACATGTCAGATGTCTTTTTTCCTTCACTGTTGAACTTTTCTTGCAACAATTATCTTCTTTGACTAATTTAGGTTGTTTTTTGTTTTCAAATTTAAAAATTTAAAATTGCAATTTTTTTTTATTGTTTACCAATTTTTCATTACTCTATCAATTCTATCATTATTAATTCAACTTTTTTGTTGCTTTATATAACAGTTTCAATTAAATCAGAATTCTATACAAAAAAAAAAACAAAAAAAAAAATTGAAATAAAAATAAAAGCAATAAATTCATGTGTATACTGCCCGCAACTGTGCGTTATACTTAGAAGTAAATTAAACAATATAGAATATATATATATATATATTATGTATGCATGTATATGGTTACTGTTGATTAGGAAAGAAATTTTAACTAAATATCTTCGAGACAGATTGCAGACAAATTCGTAGCATTTACAATAATTTAGCGCAATACATTAAATTTCTTAAGTGATGCACAAAAATTCTCACTTTTATTTTGTTTTTTATAATTTCGTTTAGTTAATTTTTTTTTTAATTTTTATAAATTATAAATATGTATGTATACATAGCACAATCATAGGGTAAGAGCAGCAATGCTTTTCTTGCTGGGCTTGGCAGTGGCGAATTAAGAGGAAAAAGTCTCACCCTCTCCCCAGCTGCCCATGAATAAAATGTAAAAGCGTAAATTTTGGTTTGTTTTTGTTTTTGTATTTTTTTGGCATTGCTGTGTTTACCGCCATGATTAAGCCATTAGGAAAGTTTTCTTTTTCTTTAACTTTCGATTTTTGTCTTGTTTGTCTTTACTTTACTTGTTTGTATCATTTTCACTTTGTATTTTGCTTGTGTTGTTGCATTTTGTTTTGTTGTCTTTGCCAGTTATAATAGGTTTTTCTAAATTTTACAAATTTATAGTTGGTTACTTTACACGTTTGTTATAGTTGGGGTTTCTATGCCTTAGTTTCATATGTTTTTATGCCTTTGTACCAATAATGAAAATAAAAACAATTACTAGTTAAATTCATTTTTATACAACATGTGTGCATTATTTTTAATCATATGGTTTGTAATTGTAGATTTCGTTTAAGGGAATAGAGGTTGTTAAAAGGTGTTTAAATTGTTAGAGCTGCTTTGGCAGCTCATCTAGTAAAAATATATGTAAATTTTCAATTTCTTAATAATAAAATTTGCTGTTTTTCTTGTTCTTCTGCATCTTATATTTGTATATTATGCATTAATTATTTTGTTTTTTTTTTTCCTTTTGTTTTCTTGACATTTTCCTTTACTAATTATTCATTTTCTTTCTTGTGTGTGTTTTTTTTCTTTTTCATTTGCACTTTTGTTTATTTTATTTCTCAATTCTGTTTGTATTTTTTTTGTAATATCTATACATTTTCTCTACGTTAAGAACTTAAATGTTAAAATTTATTGGGAACATTTTGTATAATCATAACTTTTTTTTCCTATTACCGGTATTTTCTTGGGTTAATTAGAATAAAATAAATTATTGCTAGGCATATTCTCGCTTTTTTTTATTTTTTGTTCTGGATTTCTCTGTTCTATGCATGTTTTTCTTTTTACTCGCTTAATTTAATATTTTCATGATGTTTACCTTTTTCATTTCATTTTGTTGATGTTGTTGTTGTTGTTTTTTCCTTGTGTACATTTCGTGTTTTTTTTTTGTTTTCTTTATTTAAATATGATTCAAATTTTTTATTATCATTTTATATTTAATTATCTTACGCCATTTTGGTTTTTATTCGCCTTTAAATTACAATAAATACATACATAATTTCTCGCATCAATTTTACAACTAAGCTTAAAATTTGCTGCCTTTTAATTTGCATTTGTGTTTTTTTTTTTTCTTTATCGATTGTTGTTCTTATTAAGACATCTTACGTTGTTTTGCTACGCACATTTCCTTTTTTTTCTTGTATTTCAATTGTTTTTAATTTTGCAACGAAATACTCTTATTATACATAATGTGGAATTGGGTTTCATTAATATTATAAATACAATGTTTTTTGTTTTGTTTTTGCAAAGTGAGAAATTTAATATAAACGTACTTTTCATGATTATATTAGCATAGTTTTTTTTTACTTTCTTTTTGTTTTGTTTTAGCAAGTGTTCCGTAATTTTTGTTTTTTTTTTTGTTTGTTTTAGCAAATTCAATGATGCAATTTCTATCTTTTGCCGATTTGTGACAAAATATATATGAATTTTACAAATATATAAGCAAAAACATTTGTATGTATGTATGTATATGTGTGTGTATAAAGATGTGTGTAAATGTTTTTTTTTTTTTGTGTGTATATTAAAGTGTATTCGAGGAGTGCATTAATAATTGCAATAGTAGCTATAATAGTAATTTATTGATATATATATATTGTATATTGATAGAGACATACATATGCCATTTAATTTGAAATTGAATTTAAATTTAATTTTACTTCCAACTCATTGAGCTCTACTCAATGCGACATCAATATGTTCTACTACTGTTTAATCAACGTTTACACTGCATTTCTATATAAGGTTTACTTCTATTTTCATATTTGCAGTTGTTATATTTTTGTTGAATATTTGAAATTTTTAAAGTTTAACAATAAGCATACAATTATTATTATTTTTTTTTTGACGTTTTACTCAATTTTATTTCCACTAATGTAAACTTTCATTTAACATTGAAATCAAAATAGAAAAATTTCTTAAATTCATTTTTATTTTGTTTTTGCATAAAAGTTACATCTCTACATGTACATATATGTATGTTATTGTTTGTATGTATGTGTATTTAGTTTTAATTTTTGTAATATTTTTTTTTCTTTCCATTCTTAATTATATACGATATTCGAAAATTTCTTGAATAATCTTGCATAAACGTTCCAGCGCAAGTTATTATCGTCATCAACTCATCTATCCCTTAGTCCACTTCAGCTGATTTAACAATATTCAATGCAGCTTTTAAACTTTTTGCTGTTCACTTTTCTACTTTATGACGCTTTATGCAAACTTTTACTTATACTAACCACTTTACGATCTCGAAACTACTATTCTTCACTAATTCTTTTTGCATACAATAATTCACTCCCAGATATTATATTTCCTTATAGATCCCTTCGAATTTAATAGTAAAACACTTGACCGGCCTTCTGACGTTTGCGTTCTTCAAGTTTACGGTTAATCTCTTGCTGGCGTTCGATTTTGTTAAGCGCACGTGCAACATATAGAAATTTGTTGTCGCCCAACGACTTGCCATTTAAACCAATAACTGCAGAAACTGCAGATTGTGGGTTTTCAAAAGCTACAAAACCGAAGCGACGTGAACGTCCTTCTTCGTCCAACATGACCTGAAAAAAATATGCTTTGAATTAGTTGATCTTTGATTTAAAGGAAAGGTATCCATAAATATTTCTTCTTTTCTGGCGCCAAATAACTAATTTTATACTAACATATATATGTGAAAAAGACATTGACTACATAACCTAATATATAGATAGGAACATCACACTTTGTGCCCTACATCATACGTTTCCAATTTTCGCTTGTTATCCTCAACATTTTTAAACTCTGAGACCCAATTATAATGATTGGAAAATTTAATTGAATCAAATTTGCTTTTCCTCATCAGACATATCGTATGCATGATTACCAATGCCAATAGTTATTGGCTTGGGGTGGCACACCAAAGTACAGGGCATAAACAAGGACATGCGCAACGATATTTTGTGTCGAAGCAAACACAGCATAGGAGGATTTAAGAAACATTGTATAACAGAAAAACACAGATACATAGAGTTTTAGATTGGGGGCGTAGAGGGAGCTCATGACATAAAAATGAATAAGCCATATACATAACACGAATTGAGAGCAGATGTTTTTTTTTCCTTTTAATGCACAACTTCCAATCATAGAAACTAACAACTCATTTAATGATATGTTAAAATTTAATTGCTAAAACACTTAATTGGGCAACACAGACCTTCTAAGCATTAACTGAATTCGAATCACACACGCAAAGTCTATACTTTAAAATCTACAAATAATCTAATAATAGATATTTTTATATTTACCCTGTGGCTTGTTATGCGTCCGAAAGGTTCGAATAACTCGTGTAAATGTTGATCAGTAAAATCCTCGCTAAGATTTTTCACATATAAATTCCGAAACTGTGTTGCCTTTTCTTGTTCACGGTCACGGCGTGGTATGAACTTTACCACATGCACCTTCTGATTATTACAAAGCATACCATTAACCTTTTCAATGGCAGTACGTGCAGCTTCTTCTGAATCAAAGTGCACAAAACCATAGCCGCGAGAGTTTCCATCCTCATCTTTGGCAACGTTACAATTTAGAATATTACCAAATACGGAAAACGTGTCATAAACTGCCTTGTTGTCAATGGAACGTTCCAAATTCTTGATATAGATTTTACCACTATCCGGTGAGCTTGAACTGGCGCCACTGCCGCTACCGCTACCTGGCATAACGCTACCATTGTTTGGCATGTGCGGTGACATTGAAGTGATGTTACCGCTTCCCATACCCATGGGCGCATGTTGTGCATGACGATTCATGCCCGAAGTGGCATGATGTAGATTGTTGTTGGCTGAGCCGGGATGGGCTCCTGGATGCGTACCATGTGCTGCTGATGGATGATGGGTCATGGGTCCGCCCGTTTGTCCTGTAGCGGCATGGTGATGCAGTTGCGCTTGCTGCGGATGATGTGCTGTTGCCAATGGATGACCAGCGTAGTGATGGTTGGGGGCAGGATTGCCGCGAAACGTCATCGAATTGACAAACATAATTGGGGGTGGTAGTGGCGGCACTGCGGGCTGCTTATGGAGCGTGGCGGCTGCAATTGAGCTGTTATAGGCGTTATTGTACGAATTGCTGCCGTAGCTAAGAATTTTGACGTCTTTTTGATAGAGCACCGGCGCACGTTCAATTACACAGTATTGCCTTACCTATTTTTCGTACACGTACTCCAATCCACTGCTATGACAAGAAATCAATATGAAATTTAACGAAAGAAATATGCAATTAAAACAGGAGCAACGTTTAAAATAACTTTACGCTACCTAATATTTTAAATATACCGTTTGTCGGCCAACAAACAATTTTCGTTTCTATATCCTGCACACCTATCCAACCACATTAACAATTTTCTTTCAGCTTAAAACTTGCCCGTTCGCTAGTTCGTTTCGCTTTCGTCTTCGTTTGCGTATGCGTTTTGCAAAAAATCGTTTTTCCGCTCGTTGCTTTTCTCTGTTTCACTCCACTCTTCTTTGTTTGATTACTTGATTTTCTTTATTTTCTTGTTTCTTTTTCTTATCCTTTTTATCTTAAAATTTCACTTATCTTTTTACACTTTCTTTGCTTTGCAATGAATGGCAGCTACACCTTTTTTGGTCCCCAAATGAAAGCAAATTACAAAGCGTTCAAGTTGCTTTTACAAATTTTAATATTTGCACAAAGTTAATATTAGTTTTTAATAACCTATTTTGTATTAATAAACTGATTAAGTTATTATTTTACAAATTTCGGAGGAGAAAAAACGATTTGCAGACTAGAGCCACGAACTTGCGTGCGAGCGAAGAAACGAACACATAAAGGAATGCATGATGTTGCTGCCACTATGGCAGAATAATTTAAAAATAACAGTCTTGCCAGCAAAAATTCACACTTGAGGGCATTTCACCATATCGCTGCATGCACGAGATATTTTGAGCGATTCAAGAATTTTTTTTTATGGACATTCGCTTATGCTATGACATAGTAAATTTAGTAGATATCGGAGATTTCGTGCCCATACCTTTTCCAGTTTTAAGTAGTATGTATATAAAGAAAATGTTTATTTTATTAAATATAGATATAATCATCCTTTCACGTGTTCCTCAGTGATGAAGTTACTATGGAGCGAATCAAACTTATTACATACATTGAATTCGCCTAAACGCGGAGATTTCTAAATCATTTGCAAGTTATTGTTTGCATGTATTTCATTTGAATTTCTATTTATTAACGTGAAAATCTTCAAAATTATGCCAATGAAGCTAAAAGCTTCAAGCAAAAACAAAGTGAATGGTGAGGTTGTATGGTACTGTTTGTCCTCTTCTTACCATCATGAAATCACCCTGAAGTTGGCCAAATGCCTTCTACACAAAAAGAAAATTTTTTTACATTTTAATAAGCTCTATTTTCCTCAGTGTATTTTGACAATTGTCAGGTTGTCAGGTTAACCCCTTTGACAGCTGGGGTTTAACAATTTAAGGCAGTATATTTTGTTTACTTATTTACAGAAAAGTATTTGGTTTTGCAAACTTGAACATCGATGGCTGATGAAAATATTCTTTCTAGTCCAAGAAAGCTGAATAGCTCCATCCACAGATCACGCTTGCGTCGAAAACACAAAAGGCTCAACGCAACATTTACAAAAACACCCGAACCGCCTCCTGACAATGCAACAACATTCCATAAGATTAAAAATACAACATGCGAAGAAGATTTATCCTGCACACTTTTGGTAATGTATGATTCGGAAGAAGATGATATGGAAGATGAATGCCGAGTCGCTGACAACGTGTTAGCCAAAGTGAAAGAAAACTATGATCCTTTTGCAGAGCAACGCTTGCTCGTGCTAGCTGATCGTTTAGCTGCACCTTCACGTCGCTCCCATAATTTTACAGCCACACAAGGTTTTCAACCATGTCATAATTTTTTAAATCAATTTACGGAAATTTGCCCGGAAAAAAATAATGCAGTGCATAGTACGAAAAAAGTTGAAGTGGAAATTACTGATTCGGAGTTATTGCAAGTATGCATTGAGACTGAACAGAGCACCACAAACTCTGCTATTAATATTAAACAAGAATCGCCGGAAGTGAATCAACCAACAAATACACTTACAACACCGCAGTGTCAACAAAAACCCAAATCTATAGTAGATTTAATACTTGAGGATTTCTGCAGTTCACCAACATCTCCCGAACTAAAACAATCTTCGGAGGAAAGTAATTTTCAATTCCGTTTCGCTAATAAACCTCTGCGGACGTACAGTAAGCGTAGAAAGAGCAGTTTATCTGCACGTCAAAATATTGCTGTGCAATATGAACAACCTGCAAATAGCCGTTGTCCCATTGATGATGATTTGCTAAGCAATGGCTCGTCCACTGATCTATCCGTACAGGAAGATCAAACCCAGATGGCATTTAGAACGGACGTAGAAGAAGTAGTTGAGCTACAACATTCACAGAGTTTATGTGAGAATTTACAAAATTTAAGTGCATATTTCACTGAATTGTCAGCAGAAGAAGTTCGAAATGAGACGAAAACGCTTCCTGCCAAACATGAGCAATCGACGTCAAAAGAATGTGAAGAGCTTGTGCAAATAACCGTAGATAAAAGCCCAAGCATATACAGCACGGCGATGAAGGAGGACATAAGTAACTTGCAAGAAGATGAATACCAGGAAATAATGGAAACTCCGCCTCAATGTCCCGCCAGCCATTGTGAAAATTTATCTAGTGAAGAGGAGGATAATTTTTTGAAGGATGAGCAGAAAAAACTCGTATTTGAAAACACACAGCTACAATGCTCCAACAGCCTCAATGGTTATATTTCAAATGATGAAGATTTTAGGGGTTTTGGAAGTGAAGAGGAAGATGTTAGCGTTGTTAAAAAAACTGCATCGAAACAGAACTGTGATAAAATTGTATTAAACGGTATGTATATGCGCTGATCTTTAATAATATAATTTATATAATAAAAAATATTTTCTTTTATATTCTAGATGAGGACGCAAATAGTTTGACTGTTGAGGACGATTGGTATGAAGAATGTGATATTTTTGCAAATCTCGATATGGAAGCTGCGTTGGATGCGACTGCTTCCTATAAATTACAACCATTTAATCAAAGTCAAAAATTGAAGAGCTCCATTGCGGCACAAATAAATGTTGAACCCAATATAGGCTTCCGAACTGCTTCGAATAGAGAAGTTAAAATATCTACAGAGGCGAAAGCACGGGCTTCAGCAATAGACTTGGCACCGCTGGATAACAGTTATATACCCGGCCGGGATATGGCAGCTGTTGAAAATAAAGACTGCCAAAATGATAAGAACCAAACGTTTGCTATAACCAAATCATACCACCAAGAGCTTAATCGAAGCCCCGCGGTGCAACAACATCAACATAAATATTCGAACCCACCGCTTAATTTGAATGAGAAGTATAGTGGGCATGAAGCTGAAGAGAAAGAAATGCCAGCTTTTGTCGGTTTTGCCACTGCTTCTAATAAGACAATAACAATATCAAAAGAAGCTGAAACAAAGGCTGCTAAAATACTAGAACAACTACCTCCCATTTCACCCAGCGAAGAAATAAATATAACCAAACAAATTTCTATGCATACCGCACCAAAGGAGGAGTATATATTTAAAGGCTTTTGCACTGCTTCAAGTAAAGAAATAAAGATATCTAAAGAAGCACAGGAACGTGCTTTAAAACTGCTGGAACAATTACCCGATTTAGAGGTAAAAGAGGAGCAAGATATGCATAAAATGACGGGATTTCGCACAGCTTCTAGGAAAACGGTACAAATGTCCGAAGATGCTAAAAAACGTGCGGCACTAATCATGAAAGAAGTAATGGATTTCGACGTCAACAACGTTGAGCATAATGCTGAAGAATGTTTAGATAACATACAGTTTAGCGAGTGGCCTGTAGAAGAAAAAGAAGTCCAGGGGGATGTGGTGAAAATTGATGCCAAGAGTAGTGACATGAAGATTGGCAGCGACGCGAACATGCCGGGTTTTTCGACAGCATCTAACAAAACGATAAAAATTTCAGAAGCCGCTATGCAAAGAGCAGCTGGTATTCTGGAGGACTTACCGGAACTATCAACTGACGAGGTAATAAAATGTCCAAATACCGCAAAAAACATGGATACTGAAACATTGCAAAATATGATGTTCTCTGAGTGGCCTTTGGATGATGTTGTTGGGGATGCCCTTGATAAGCACGAAGCACCACCAAATGGCATGCATAAAAGAAAACGTAATAACAGCGACAATCCGGCCACTCATGATGCCGTACAGGCACACTCGCCGCAAACACCAAAATTTATTTGCACCTCACCGAGTAAAGAACGCAGTCCATTGACAAACATACAAACCGCGGTCGCACGTTCGAGTTTGAGTGAATTAGCAATAAAAACACCACCCGATTACCGCGCCTGTCGTGGCATCATATCACGCAAGAATTTGCTTTCTTTAAATAAACGCAATAAGTTAAGTGCGAAATCCTTGCAACAGAACAAAGAGTTCAAGGATGACTGTAGCGCAGTTTCGACACCAAAAAATAGAAGAAGAAGAAGCATTACCTCAATTGGGAATGATATAAAATCGCCGCCTGGCACGCCAATACCAAATTTACAAGAATTTTTCCAATCGGCCACAGTTAGCACCAGCACACCGCATCCACCAGCGCGTGAGCAAACACAAATGCGCACACGCGGCCGAAAGCGCACGGAATTGCAATTAGCTGCATTGAACTCATCAACAAAAGACGTTTCATTTAAACGCATCGAATGGGAAAATGAAAGTTTGAATAAAACCGCTGCATCATTGAATGCGAGTAGATTGTCAAATTCATCTTTTAGCAATATAATTAAAATGGAATTGAATCCCACACCTAAACAGCGTATCGAACGATTGCGTATGTATGGCAAACCACCAAGTGTTTCACCCATTCTTATGTCTAGCACAAATAATTGTCGTATATCGGGACTGAAGCGACGCACACGTAGCGCCAACAAGGTGGATGAAGTTAATAAAGAGTAGTGTAATTGGATTTATTGCAATTCGTCGATTGTGAAACTAAGCATGGACTCAGTTTTCCCCATTATTTTCCTTTTTAAGAATTCTCCTCAGTTATATGTAAATATATATGTACTATATGTATGTATGTAAATTTATATGATTTTCTATCTATGTTACTTTTGAAAATGTTCAAATTATCGTTTGAATTTAGTTGTAGTGTATTTAACCGCTGTACAGTGCCTAAAAGTAAAGAGAAAATATTTTAGTTTTGTTCAATAAATTTTGATGAGCCAACTGTCGTACCTGGGCGTATGAGTAACCAAAATTGTAGTGTTTTTTTTTTTTGGAGAGTGATGAAAATAAAGCTACATACATGTACAGGGTCCGCCATCTAACATTTTTTTTGAACTAGTGGTTATTTTCAGTGTGGATATTTCCGAGACGTCCCTTAGGCGAATTTTGATAAAAGACCTTGGTATGACACCGTACAAAGTTCAATTGGTTCAAGAATTGAAGCCACGAGACCATCCGATGCGGTTTGCCTTTGCCGAATGGGCATTTGTTTTATTGCATTTAAAAAAAAAAAAAGTTACGTGGCGGACCCTGTATAAATTATCATTTTCCCAAGCAAAAAGCTCCTACCCAAAATGAAAAATTCCTAACCTAGAAATATGAATACTTCTACATGCGACTACTGGTTGGACTCATCCAAAAATTTTTACAATTCTTAAATCGTCGCTGCTTCTCGACCGGAGTGAGCAACTGTAATCCTTCTACTATCTGCCATAATATAAGTCTTCCTGTATTCCATTGGGGGAACCTACAGCCTGAACTTCTTGAAAAAGCCTAATCATTATTTCAGGGATCAAATATTTTATCCACATGCCCCCTGTAGACAACTCTGTCTTCAACCACCCTTCCGGTAATAGCATGTTTCGTAATGTTGTTCTTTGATCCATTTCTGCTCTCTTGGGATCGACAATATCGTCCATCGCCCCACCTGGTGTGGACTGGATTTCAGATGCCGCTTAAATTACTATATACTGGACGCCTTTCCTTAGCACCCGAGATGGTGTTTTTAAGTACTCTGGTTTGACTGTTGCATTAGCTCAAATTGATGCCAAATATATATATCAGTAGGGCCGATCTGCCGTTCACAGGTAGCTTCCTCATTTTGTTGTCTTGGCGAATTTCAAATGTTCATGTATGATTTCCACCTTCCACTTCCGTCTATCCACCTGTTCTTGCTTGTATCTCCTCCACCTTTCTCCGGTCATTAGAAACCATTAGTACCACTGGAGTTAGTCTTGCTGTTCCCACGTTTTCACAAACTTCAAACTTTCAGTGCACCTACGACTTATCTCAGCCAAGTGTACGATATATTCCACAGGAATGGGCAGAGGATCGACGCTAGCGGCATGTCTTCTGCTATTTTATACTTCTTTGGCATTCTATCGGACTAAATACTTAATAAAAGACCACCAGATGCCAAACGAAATGTAATGCCTTACCGTTTAACCCAAATAAGTCTTAACTCATGTAATACTGTTGTTGGTATTGTTGTTGTTGTTGTAGCGGTTTATCCACCTCATTTAGGAGCTGGCGAGACTAGTCCAAGGCATCGAGATCGCCTAATGGTAGGTTTAGAAAACGACCTGCTTCGAAATTTTCGGAGCAGACGACAATGGGGGTTCGATGAATAAGTTTTAATGGGCATCCAAAGAGATGGTTAATGTCAAGCGGGGTCAAATTGCATATACATTCTAATGTCGGGGTCATATCTGGATATGTAGGAGTTACCCTGACTATAATATCCATACCTTAACTGTGCCTGTATTACTCTCGAAGCAACTCGAGCTCAACGTCTGCAATGGGTAGTGCTTGAATTCCGAGAACGTCATTCACTGGAAGAGAGTTTATAAAGATGTTGACGGATTCTCGGTCTGCTGGTACGTTTCCCTCTCCAGCGGTTCTTGTCTATAATGCTGCATCGTGTCGATGAAGTCAAAAAATACTTCCTTCTTGCTGTGCCCGGATGGAGGTTTAGCTTAAGGTGAATGTCGTATAGGATGCTTCCGACGGTAGCACACTAGCAGATATTGCCTGCTAAGCCATAAAAATATGCTCCTTAAGTTGGGGCATAGATGTCTTGTTGTGCAAGTGTTGCCCGGTGATATCAGTGGGTTTCCTGGCACGGCCCTGAGGGCGGCATTCCGACATGCTTATAGCTTCTTTATTTGCGACTCGCTAGAGCCCAGCACCCATATTGGCCTTGTATGCTGCCAGCAACGCTTCTTTGTATTTTCAACAGGTGCTAGAGGCGGAGGCTTTGAGGATTTTGTTATGCCATTGTACAATTGCAGTTGTAGGCGGAGTGAAGGAGTGCACACTGTCGAATGCGACTCTCAGTAAATTGGATTGTTAGTTGAGGAAACTTTTATGCCATCGACTTCCCCATTGAATTCGAGCCGATATTCCTTCGTTCAGCTGGTGAAGGGGGTAGCCAAGTATGTCGCAGGCTACAGCTGTAGCTGTCGGGTCGTGTCGAATAGTGCAGTGAAGTAGTGGGAAAGGCCGGCGAGATAGCTATTAACTTGTGAACCATATCCAACCGGGATATTGAAAGCTTGGACCCTAAGCAGTTTCGACGAAGATACCTAACATCACTCGTCGTTTAGTTATCAGTCGGGTCGTCTCGTGGCTAATACGTCGCCTAATAGGTTTCGGTTACATATTTCATTTGTTCAGAATAATAAATTTTGGATTTAAAACATTTTTTATTGTTTTGTTAATAACATATTCTCATTTGGGTACATACTACGAGTACATAAATACGCTAGATAGCTTTGTGATGTAGAAGGGGTTATCGAACTACTCTACCATAAATAAAATTAAATGCTTATGTAAGTATGTATGGGTGTGTGAATGTTTGCAGGTGTACGTGTAAATTAGTGATTCATTTAATGATTCAAATTGGCAAAGTTTATTCTTCTTCTTCTTCTTCTTCTTCACCTAAACATAAGTGCCCGTCTTACATACTACCCGGAGCATTCGGAACATTACTTTCCAACTTTCGCCACACCACATTACACATTTCTCGTACCAACGCCTTTTCACCGTCATCCATTTGATCTCGGGAATTCTCAATGAGACCACTGAGACGATCTCGCTCCAGCTGTTCGCGTACCTCCAGCACTTGCAGTGCACGCACCACCGCTTCGGGTCGACTTGATATCGGATCGATAAGTGCATTTTGTGTAGATTGTTGCTGTTGCTGTTGCTGCTGCTGTTGTTGTTGTTGTTGTTGTTGGAGTTGTTGTTGGGTTTGCGCTGTTTGTGCTTGAGGTTGATTGAGCTGCGCGGCAAGTATGTTGGCAGTCGGTGTGGTCGCACCGACACGTTCCTCCTCCAATTGCCGTATGCGTCGTTCCAACGAGCGCACGTATTGGACGGTCTGATCGCTGAGCGTGGTGCGTAGCGTAGAGTCCTGGGTGTGGAGGGTGGATTATATGGTTATTATTTTCACATTTTCTTCGTTTTTTTTTTCATCACGTCAATTACTCACCGGCATTTGTCGTTCGTAATTCCTTAACGCCGATAGTGTTTCTTCTGCGTTTGTGCTCGAACTACTGCCATCACCATCGTCGCGCAAGGGATTACGTACGGAAGTGCCGCAATTGGCACAAAGTGCATTCGCCGCTATGTGTGTGCGCTCTTCGTCCAAATAGAGGCACAATTCCTTCAGTTCCAGATTGTCGGTTATTAGCTCTTGCTGTTTGTCATCGAGTTGACGTAGCTTGTGCTTTTTGGGAAAATAAATATTAATTATAAACTTTTCGCTGTGGCTAAATGAAGACATACGATTGCATACCTGATAAGCGGCCACCTCTTGTCGCATCACACTGGCTGTGTATCTGCCGAAACGTTGCCATTCCCGTGCGAGCTTTCTGCCCTTCTGTCGGTCGTCGTCGAGAAAGCAACATAAGTCGCGGAGTTCCTGATTATCATCGAGCAAGCGTTGATTCTGTTCTTTCAAGACTCGTAGCTCATTGATAAGGCCCTGGAAAGTTTAAGGTTTTTTTTTGTTTATTCTATACTTAATAGACGAGATCGTACATAACAACTCAAAGAGTGGGTTTGATTAAGGCAGAACTGACGTGGTTACTGCTATTGTTATTGCTGTTTTTCTAGCGGTTTGCTAAGCCCACTTAGGAGTACAATAGATCAGTTTAAGTCATCGAGCACATCTAACGGGAGATCCAGGAAACGAGCTGTTTCGAAGGGTTCGGACCAGACGGAAAGGGGGGTTAGATGAGTTGGTTTATGGGGCATGAAAAGAGGTGGTTAGTGTCGCGCGTCTGTCTGGATAGGTAGGAGACTAGTCTGTTACAATATCTAGATGCAATTTGAGCCAGTATTACGCGGTACTCTCGACGAGGGGCGCGCTTTTTCGTCTGCAATAGATGGTAGTTTGACTCCGAGAACTCCATTCACCGGAAGAGAGTACGGGAAGGTGTTAGCGGACTCTCTCGGTGAATGTCAGTAAACAATCCTGCCCAGCGGTTACTGTAGCTGATGCCGAATGCAGTCCTTAAGATCGAGCGCGAAATGAAGGAGTGCAGGCTGTGAAATGTGACTTCCAATAACTTCGGGTTGTTTATAGTCACATTGAGGCGAGCCGATACTCCTTCGCCTAGCTGACGCAGAGGGCAGCAGAGGGTTTTGCTAGTTGTAGTCGTAATTGTCTTGCAGTGAAGAGGTGGGTTTTCGAGATAGCAATCCACTTTCGAACATAAATCATCAATATACTGGCCAGACGCCAATATCGGGAAATCATCGGTATATGAGAGCAATTAAACCCTGGAGGAGGGTATTGCGAGACATAAAAGCTTAACAGCAGTGGCATAAGGGCACCACCCCTTGTTTAATCTTTCTGAGTTTGGATGTTTGACTTCGAAATTTTACCGATGATTGACGACTACTCAAATATGCCATGATCCATAATTACAACCCCGGCGGTAATCAGAATTCCTCAATGTCCGATAATAGCACTGAATGATTGACTATCCTCAAGAGTCTTCACTACTGGGGGAAAGAGATATAACGGCCAATATGCCCCTCCGCTGTTTGTTGGCTGAGTTCAAACTACAGAATAACAGTAGGTTAGGCCTCATGGTGAGGAGTGACTTTCTAATCATTGACAGGTAATTGATAGCCGAAGAGGTATAGTGCTAGAGGTCTACAGTCTGTAGGAAGCCTAAGAGCTTGAAGTTCCCTGACGAGGAGAAATTTAGATGTTGGTTTGGCTAGGGCGCAAACGCTTGACCATTGGAATGATAAAACGCTGTGCTAACCACTCGCTCGAGATTCGCGGCGTGCAAATATCATAAATATGGTACCGCAACAATAATTGGCACTTACCTGTAACTGTCGATTTTGTTCAGCCGTGAGCCGCGTGCCCGTCGCCACAGTCGCCGCGCTCGAAGTGATCGAAGCGTTCGGTGAGGGATGATCTTGATCACTTTTCCGCACGAACTTAAGCATATCTTGCTGATGTTGTTGTTCCACTTGTTGTTGTTGCTGCTGCTGTTGTTGTTGTTGTTGTTGTCGATACTGCTGTTGTTGTTGTGGATTATAGAAATATTGCGTGTTGTGGGTAAGACCACCGCCCAGTCTACCAGATGATTGCCTCTGACCGAGCGTCGCTTGATGAGATGGCAAATAGCGTCCACCACCACCGGAAAGCTTGAGCGAATCGGGTATATAGACCGGGGACAACTGCGGTATATCCGGCGGATATTTAAGATTGAAGTGCGTTGTATCAAAGTTGTTTGACGTGTGATGCTTACCACCACCAATACCACTCGTGGCCGTCAACTGACGTTGGCCTAATGTCGACTCAGCACTTTCACCAGCGCCGCTACGCAATGTATTTATATGCTTCAATATGCCAGCCTGATTATTGCTCGGCTGGGGTGGTGGTTGGTACCGTGGTGGTATGGAATGTGCTGGCGCCTTTAAATGATTGGCAGCTTTCAACGCCTGTAGATTGTAAGCGTTGCGTTGCTGCTGCAAGGCGGCCGAGTTGAGAGCAGCCGAAGCAGTTGCCGACGAAATAACCTCGCTCTCGCCGCCACTCAAATGCTGCTTTGAAGTCGTTTGTTGTTGCTGGTTGAGGTGATGCAGATGCTGCTGGAGGTTGTGATTATGGTGACGCTGATCCTTTAGAGTATGCGAGGATGTCGGATGTACGTGCGCGTGCGAGTGTGGGTGTGGCTGTGTGTGTGATTGCTGAGCGTCTGCCGAAATACCAGTGCCGCCAGGCGTCGAAGCACCCGCTGTTGGCTCCGCCGTGTGCTGTTGCGTGTGATGATGATGTACGGTGGCGATGGTTTGGAGTTGGTGTGAAGGCAATGTGGCGCCGTTTGAGTATTTTGTAATTGCGTTGGCTGAGGGCAATGCCGATGACGATGTGGTTGTCGTTACGCTGTGCTCACGTTGCTGTGTGTGCTGTGTGCGGTGTGTGTGTTGCGCCAATGCTGGTACACTACTGGGAGCTGGGAGCGAGCGACGTGTTTGTGGGGCTTGTAATTTACTTGAAATCGTGGCAGAAAATTGCTGTTGTGTTATTTTGTCACAGTCGTTGTTGTTATTCGATTTCGGGTTATTAAGGGAGGTGGCGATGGCGATGGCGTTGGTGTTGCTATTGCTGCTGCTTTTGCTGTTATTGTTGTTGTTGATTATGGTGGTATTGACACCAGTTGCTGGCAAGGTATTAGACGACGCTTCGTTCGTTTTTGTTGGGTTGGCACTTAAAAACTTGTCGCTCAGTTTGTTTATGTTATTATTATTATTATTGTTATTGTTATTGATGTTGGTATTGTTGTTGTTGTTGTTGTTGTTGTTAGTAATACCAGACATTTTATTAGACGTCTTAGTCATTGCTTAAGGCATTTGCCGTCTGTTAACGTTTATTTTTGGGTTTATTTGACCCAAAAGTCTACCGGCGGTCCTCCCCGCCTTTAGGCATTTTCAAGTACAGTTATACCTGTGTTTAGAAAAGAGATAAATTTATATTTATTATATATATATATACTGGCGCTTTGTAGCCGCTGGAGCGCTTTTTGATCGAACTCTTTCTCCAAAATGTGTGAAGGAACCTGCGATTTATTGTAAGCCACCTCCGAACGACCGATGGATTTTTAAGAGAAGCCTTTATTTCAGGCCACAATCGAATTGCTTGACACTCGTCGCCGAAGGGCGACAGCAGTTGGAAAAATTACTTTTATTCTATTTTAGGTATTGGACTCAAAGCCTTGTCTTCAGAATGGCAGTACGCAATGCTAACTACTCGACTGTTGCAGCAAAAAAGCACTGCGACTTTCTTAACTGTTTACACTTATTAACAACTGATTATAATTTCTTTTACTCCGCTGGAGTGCATCCTGCTAAGAGAACTTCTCTCTTTCGTGTCTTTGGAAAACTATCATCTACAATCACTAAAGAAAATCGTTAGACACTGCCGGTTGGGGTTTCAAGAATTTAAACAGCGGTAGAGGCTACTAATGTCCAATAGTTTCCACGACAGTCGGGTCTTTATACCGGAACGACCTGGATTTTTATCCAGCCAAGGACTGTTACTCCTGAAACATTCTCCAAAAACTACTTTGGGGAAAACATTCTTACGCCTGGAATGTCCTACGGCTCGTTTGATCCGGACCGATTTGTACTTAGACATGATTTTTATAAGAAAAGCCCTTGAGTGCCTTTCGAAGTACATGAAAAACGTGCTTCTTAACAATTTGAAAACCCGGTCGAGTAGTATTTTTAGCTGTGCCATATTGCTGAGACCCCTAAGACAGACTTACAGCTCCAAAACATTTGGCCTCAGTAACAAAATTTAAATCAAAACCTCTATTTAATATTTGGTGGGAGGCTTGACGGAGTTAAATAGGTATAAATATGAACCTTCTTTTGGTTTGCTTCTTGCCAAGATTGCTAAACCAAATCGGAAATGGCTTGACCGACCATTAGTAAAGTTGTACTACTGACGAATCTTAGTTCTATCGTTCCGGATACCAAACAGCAGTCTATGGGATGGAGCCCAACAGGAGCAAACCCACCCGCAATATCTAAGCAACAACAATGAACAGCAAAAATAATGATACCAGTTTTCTTCACCCGACCTAAAATCGTAGCTGCCATTCCACTGCAAAAAGGGTCAGACGGCAACTGTTAAATGGTACATCGAAGAGTGCTTATCAAAAGTTTTCAAAAATTTGTGGGGAAACAGGAAGAAAGAGGAACCATTATTTCTTATGCCTTAAGACTTGGAGACTAGTGAATGAAATAGTTCAAAGCTCTCAGTGCTTTATCGTAATATATAATCTATGGAAATGGACTAGGTTTTGAACTTATCTTAACAAGGAATTAGAATAAAGACGAAATACAGAATACATATAAATAAGGTATCCAGTAGGGTACCGAAAACCGGTATCAGGATAGAGGATATGGGAAATCTGAAACTGGAAATCTAATACCGGAGGTGAAAGGAAAAACGGGTGACTATAGAATGAAAGTCATATCAAAAATATTATAAAATACCGTACTGGTGGAAGGGGGTAGCGGAATGAGGATTCTGATGGAAATACCAGATTTAGACAAACAAATTTTTAAAATGTTGCCGATTTGATTTGATTTTTTTATACTCACTTCAAACGTAAAACCAGGCGAACAACCGAATTATACCCTTCTGAACAGCACTTCTCAATATAAAAAAGACGCAAACGCGTTAAAATCTAGAAATTATTAAGCAAAGTCTTTATGACCCAATTCGCGAGCGAGCAATGCGAAAATATTCTAAAAATTTACATAAAAACTTCAAGATGGATGCTGGCAAATTTGCAATCTCTGTCGTTTTGAATTTTGTAGTGAAATTATTTAAATATCAAAATGGGTTCATCTCTTCTTCTTCTGGTAATTACATACCTCGGATCAAACTTAATTTCATGTAAATACATTGGAGGCATAAAGAGACAAATCTTGAAAAAAGACCGCATATCTGGTACGCTCATTGAGTAGTTTAAGCTGATCTCAATCTGAACTATAAAAGCTTATTTCTTTTGAAAATTAAAATTTCAGATTTTCATTTCTCATTTCGAAGCTCGATATTTGTACTATTTTTTATACCATACATTTCATATATATATACGAGTATGTAGATATTTATTTTATTTAGCAAGAAAACTTTAATTTACTCCAGACATAAATGAAACAGTGATATTAGTTTCACTTACATATTGTTGTTATTGTTATGTAATAATAATTTTTACGAGTAAATGCTTCACGCTTGGTGCCTGAAATAACTATCCTAACGAAATGTTTAGTACAAATTTCAACAACAACTAAAAAAAAAACATTTGGCGTCATTTGGCGTAAGGAAATTTAGAAATAATTTGGAATGCATAAATATGTACATACTGCATATGTACATATATATCTTTTTAGTTGTGTTTATATAAAAATTATTATGACATTGAAGCTATGCAAATTACTTAATTACAAACACTTGTTTTCACGCCACACTCTGCGTAGAGCAAATAATTCTGACACATGGTGCTGAAGGGCGTAAACAGTAGGGCAGAGCTAAATTCGGGTGTTTAGAGGCACAGAATTTGCAATATTTTTCAGCTGGTTTGTAAAATGAAGGTTTAAGATGAGAGAAGAAAGTAACGTGTGGCTTGATGGGGAAGATGTGATTAGTCCTTGTAACGAAAAAAATCTTTAGTTATTATATTATACGCGAGAATTAACAAAAGTTCGGTAAGTTGACCAGAAACAAATAATTCTTTTTGTAGTTATTCTCAAACTTTGTTCCTTTTTATCGTCGTTACATACATCTCAATGCATTTCTCAAGTTTTTCTCAAGTCTTTAGATCCACTTCTGAAAACAGTCTTCAAAACGTTGCTTTTTAAGCATAACAAGTTCAGCATTAACCGCCTTAAATACCTCCTCAATGCAACTAAAGAACTTTCCATTTAAATTTTGTTTTATTTTCGGAAATAACCAGAAATCACAAGGTGTTGTATTCGGGGAATATGGTGCTGGGCGTATTACTTCGATCACAGAGATCGCAGTAAAGTTACTCATAATTTCAGCAGTGTGGGATGGCGCTTTGTCATGATGTGAAAAGTAGCGCCACAATCCTCTTTTTTCCTGTTTTCCAACAAATTTTTGAAAACTTTTGGTAAGCACCCTTCGGTGTATCATTTTGCCATTTCCGTCTTATCCTTTTCCAGTAGAATGATAGCTTTGATTTTAGTTCGCTGGCATTTCTGTTGCTTAGATTTTAGGGGTGGGTTTGCTCTTGTTGGGCTCCATACCATGGACTGCTGTTTGGTTTCTGGATCGTACTTATAGAACCAAGATTCGTCATCACTTTACTAAACTTGCTAGACGGACAATTTTCGTTTTTTTTAGGAAAAATTTAACAAAATACACTTGAGCCTCTCTCATTTAAAATTCGTGGTAACCATCGAGCGGATTTCTTTGTGTATCCCCGATGATTACTTAGTATACGCGATGCAGCCGTGGCATTCTAGCTTAATTCATTAGCAATCATTTCTTGTAACAATCGTGGGTCCTCGTCAATTTTAGACTTCACCAGAGCTACAGTGAAGGCATCAGAGCAAGATTTTGGTCAATCTTCTCGGTGCTCGTCCCAGTCACCATTTGAGTAAGAAATAACAAACGCTTATTTTGTCCACCCAAAAAAGTCAAGTAGTTAGCATTGCGTACTGCCATTCGGAAGGCTCGGATTCAAATCCGCGTGCAACCAACATCCAAATATTATAGAAAATTAATTTAAATAAAAAATTAAGCTAAATTATCTCGCTCGGCGGAAAATCGCTTTGGCGGTTACAAAGCGACAATTATATATATATTTATATATATATATATATATGTTGGGTATGTAGTATGAAACGATAACTTTTTTAAAAAAAACCATATCGTGGTGGGAAAGTAGTTACAGAAAAGGCTATATTGGGCTATGTGAAGGATAAGAGGAATTCTTGAAGAGCTATAATATGACCACATATCTTATGGACAGCTATGTTTTATGTCTATTAGCCTAGCTATGTAGAACATAAAATGAAAATTTGGTAAGTATCCATCATAAGCTGTTTTTGCTTAAAATAGTTTTCATATCAAATGCAAATTATTCCGTTCTAAATTCAAAACACTGAAATACAAATTGCATTGAAGAGGAAAGCAAGGTGACATTTCTTAACTCAAGTATAAGTATTTCTATTGAACCATTACATCTTATGCCTTAAGACTTGGAACTTATCTTAACAAGAAATTAGAATAAAGACGAAATACATAATACATATGAATAAGGTATCCAGTAGGGTACCGATAACCGGTATCCTCTATATGGGAAATCTGAAATAGGAAATCTAATACCGGAGGTGAAAGGAAAAACGGAAGAACATAGAATGAAAGTCATATAAAAAATATTATAAAATACCGAACTGTTGGAAGGGGGTAGCGGAATGAGGATTCTGATGGAAATACCAGATTTAGACAAAATGTTGCCGATTTGATTTGATTTTTTTATACTCACTTCAAACTTAAAACGTTAATTAACAAAATTATAGTAGTTATTATAGCTACTTTTACATTTTACACATATTAAGGGCTACAACTAGTGTAATAGCCTAAAAAAAAGGTGATTTTCGGGAATTTTTATTAAAAAAAAATACTTTATCAATTATTTCAAAATTTTAAGAATATATTTATACATGTTTGAAGAATATACAGCGAAAATTTTGAAGAAAAAAATTCAAGATTTCTTAATTATAGTCGATCTCCAACGGCGCTAAAAAAGGTCCTTCACTGCAGCAGTGATTCGTAGATGAAATCTTAAGCAAAAAATCTCTACTAGATAATATTGTCTGTACAATGACTTATGATAAAAAAAAACAAAAATTTACAATATGGCGGCGTTTTAAATAAAATAGTCGAATTTTACCCAAAATTTTTGTCGTTTTTGGCCTGCCAAAATTTGATTTTTTGATCAGATCAAAAATCGATAGGTCATTGTACGGAGAATTATATATAGAACATGTAAAAAAATTCGATAGTGATCGGATTATTTGTTTTTGAGTAATCACTGCAGCAAAGTCGGAAAATGCTGTTTCGAGAAAAACGCGTTTAAAGATAAAATGATCGGTTTCACTCGTAGCTAATGAGACTCTCTAGCTGCCGAGCGGCTGCTCTTTAAATTGCTATAACTCAAAAACTATTTGAGATATCGATTTGAAATTTTAATACGTTATTTTTAAAGATGTAATCTGTAATATGAAAAAATATAATTTTTTTTTTTTTTTTGAAATTTCACACTGGGTGTGCCGCTTAAAGAAGTCTGAATTGCCAGGCGAACAACTGAATTATACCCCTGTGAACAGCACTCCTCAGTATAAAAAAGAAGCAAACGCGTTAAAATCTAGAAATTAGTAAGCAAAGTCTTTATGACCCAATTCGCGAGCGAGCAATGCGAAAATATGCTTGAAATTTACATAGAAACTTCAAGATGGATGCTGGCAAATTTGCAATTTTGTTGTTTTGAATTTTGCAATGAAATTATTTAAATTTCAAAATTAACAAAGCAGCATACAGATGTAATCGACTATAAAGATTTATGTGCCAAAAGATATTTGAGAGCCAAGAAATTAAAAATTTTTTGAAAGCCAGAATTCGAATCCTCTTCCGACCAATATTATTCTTTGTAATTGCCGTCGCTCCTCGATATGGAGTGTCCAGAGCTCCAAATGTATGTCTGATGCGAAATAAAGGCTCTTCATAAGAAAACACCAGCCTTTCGTAAGCGGTTTAATACAAATTGTAGATCCCTCTATTTGTTGGGAAGACATCAAGACGCAGACCATAATTGCAGAAGGTGCTCACCTGCAAATCGCTTCAGCGTCAGTTGCTTGTATATATGTATGTAAGGCACTCATAGTTGGAGAAAGTCAAAGAGGCTTAACCAACCATCAAATATGTAGACTAACTTCAAATTTGTCAATACGCTCTGTGTCGTTTTATTAGCCAACTGGGAAAATAGTTTAGGCCTACATATCATTATACTGGTGTACATATGTATGTGTGTATGTATATACGTAATGATGCACCTATCGCGATGGATGTATCAGTAACAAAAGGAAAAGTGTTACACATCAGTGCATATCTATTAAAGTTGTCGTGCAACTATGAAGCAAGACACACAGGGTTATACATTTTGCGGTTTCGAAAATAAACTTTAACAAAATGCATTTAAAATAGTTTTCATTTTCATGAAATCCCTTTTTTATTGTAAGTTTTAACCTTGGCATTATATACGAGGTGTGACAATTAAGCAATGAGAGTGATTAAAGTGCCACGATTATGGTAACCCTGCGACCTTGAAACTCCCTTCTCTTTCCCTTCTCCTATCCATTGTTATATTTGCAAACGCTCTAGCTTGTTAAGTTCGTCTGTCGTGTCGTGTTGAGTAAACGTCTGCTCGTGGTGCTCGTCACGAAAATGGAAAAATGAAATCAAGATCCACGCATCGCGATACTATTTTGCGTCAAATTGGACGAAACAGCTCCCGAAACGTACGCTAAAATTGTAAAAGTACATGCTGAAAGTGCTCCTAGTCGTACTCAGGTGTTTTGATGGCATAAAGAGTTTATGGAGGAGCGTGAAAGCGTGGATGACGAGGCGCGAAGCCGGACCCCAGTCGAGGTGCGGATCGCCTTTTTGTGTTAGCCGTCGAATCGTCGACAAAGAATTTCTTCCACTGGGGCAAACCGTAAATCAAGTCTACCACCGCCAAGTAATCGAAAGATTGTGAAAACGAGTAAAAAGGGTGCGCCCCGACATCGCTCGCAACTGGATCCTTCTTCACGACAATGCGCCGTGCCACACCGTCCGCAGCGTGTCACAGTATTTGGCCTCTGAAGGAATCGCCGTGTTGCAACAACTGCCTTATTCACCCGATATGTCACCCTGTGACTTTTGTTTGTTCCCTAGAACAAAATCGGTCGTCAAAGGAACCCATTTTGAGCCAATTGAGGACATCCAGGCGGCTGTGAAGAGGGTACCCGCGAACATACCAGTCGAAGCGTTCCAGAAATATTACGCAGCATGGAAAACCCGCTGGAATCGTTGTATAGCTGCCCAAGGGGTCTACTTTGAAGGGAATGGCAGAGTTGTAGAATAATTTTGAAATATATTTTGGCGTAGAACCACAAAAAACGACTAAAGGTGTCAAATCTTACGATCTCGGCGGCCAATTGACATCGGCAAAAGCCGAATTAACAGTCAAAATCTCGCTGTTGTCGATTTCAAATCATACAATCATACTTCCGGACCAAAGAGCGCAACAGACCGTAAGTTTGGTTTTGGATGTAATAGCTTCTCGTCAATTATTTAAGGATTATTGGAGCCCCAAAGGCGACAATTCCGCTATACCCCGAGTAAAAAATTTGGCTTGTCGTTCGAAAAATCGACGCCACTGCTTGTTGTTCAAGCACCCAATTGAAGTCTGTTAGGGGTTGTAAAAGGTCAGCTGGCTTCAGTAGTTGTATGAGCTGGACCTTATGTGGATGTCGCCATAATGGGCTGTAAGAAAGTGTCAGCGTCGAGAGATAGACTTTCACTTATAGGTACGATATTTTAGGTGGCACGGACGACGAGACTGATCCAATCTCTTCAAATGTCTTTAAACTTTCATCAAATTTCTTCAATAGTTAGACGCTTATGTGCACCATAATCTTCGCTTAAACGTGAGAATACAACACTGTACTTTTGAAACCACAAAATGGATAACTCTATATTCATGCACACACACATACATACATAAATATGTTGATATGTGAAATGTCATTAGATTTTCGGTGATGATAAAAATTTCTTTAGAGTTTTTACCGCCAAGTTGTTGCTCTGCAATCATACCTCAATGCATATGTATGTATGTAGGTATGTGTATATGTATGTATGTTGTACATACAAATAACTAAATTTATTCATAAACAGCGTATAAACATCAATGATCTTAGCTGTGGACCATATCTTAGAAATTCAGCTTAATTATATTTAATATTATATATATTCATATGTATATATATGCGTGTGTGTGTGTTGTTATACATATGTATGTATGTCGTTTATCCCAGAGTCTGTCTCTAACACTCTTATTTCTTTACAATTACAAATGCTAGTTTCACCAAAATCGAGGTCACATAACACTTCAGCAGGAATCGAGTGGAATACTTAATAAATTATTTGCTTTTTCTACGAGGTGAATGGCTTTTTGAGGTACCTTTTTACTTATTTTTTTCATTTATTATGTTTTTTTCTTTTTTTTTTGGGTAAGCACATGCACAAATTTCAACAACTATTTTTGTTTCAAGAAAATTATTTGGAAATGTTTTGATATTTTTTTTAAATTCATTATTATTTTTTTTGTAACTAGACACTAGAGTTTCATGTACCATTTTTCATAATTATTTTTGTTTTAAGAAAAATATTTGGAATTATTAGGATATATTTTTAATTTTTTATTATTTTTATTTTTTTTTTATTTCTTATTATTTATTTATTATTTTTTTTTTCGTAACTTAGACACTAGAGTTTCATGCAGAAATTTCAATAATTATTTTTGTTCTAAGAAAAATATTTGGAATTATTTGGATGTATTTTTATATTTTATTTTTTTTTTTTACTTTTCTATTTTTTATTTATTTATTTATTGTTTTTTTCGTAACTTAGACACTAGAGTTTCATGCACAAATTTCAATAATTATTTTAATTTCAAGAAAACTATCATATTTGGAAATATTTTCATACATTATTATTTTTTTTATTTTTATTAATATTTTTTATTTTTATAATTTTTTTTTTGGTAACTTAGACAATAGAATTTCATGCACAAATTTCAATAATTATTTTTGTGTTAAGAAAACTATTTGGAATTATTTTGATATACATATTTTAATTTTTTATTATTTTTATATTTTTTATTACTTTTTTATTTTTTATTATTTTTTATTATTTTTTATTATTTTTATTATTTTTATTATTATTATTTTATTGTTTATTGCTATTACTATTTTGGTAACTTAGACACTAGAATTTTCATAATTTTTTTTTGTTGTAAGAAAACTATTTGGAATTATTTCGATATATTGTAATTTTTTATTATATTTTTTTTTCTTATTTATTTTTTTTGGTAACTTAGACATGCACAAATTTTAATAATAATTTATTTGTTAAGAAAAATATTTGGAATTATTTTGATATATTTTTATTTTTAATATTATTATTATAAGTTTATTTATTATTATAATTTTTTTTTTTGGTAACTTAGACACTAGAGTTTCATGCACAAATTTCAATAATTATTTTTGTGTTAAGAAAACTATTTGGAATTATTTTGATATATTTTAATTTTTCATTTTTTATAATTTTTTTATTTTTTATTATTTTTATTATTATTATTTTATTGTTTATTATTATTATTATTTTGGTAACTTAGACATTAGAATTTCACGCACAAATTTTCATAGTTTTTTTTTGTTGTAAGAAAACTATTTGGAATTATTTCAATATATTTTAATTTTATATTTTTTATTATTTTTTTATTTTCTATTGATTTATTTATTTTTTTTTAGACATGCAAAAATTTTCATAATAATTTATGTGTTAAGAAAAATATTTGGAATTATTTTGGTAATTTTTTTTCATTAATTTTTTTTAATTGAAAATTGTAAAAGCAATAAATTTGTGCTTGTAATTCATAAATTTAGAAAGCGTCGGCTTACTTTGTATTTTAGTAATGGATAAATATGCAAAAACAGTTAGTGGGCTTCTCTTGCACTTCACAAACAGTATTCGGAATTGGTAAATTTTTTCATATAATTTTATATGATTTTTGCATTAATTTTTCCTTTCATTCTTTCTACAATTGAGCTTCACACTTTTGTACAGCTTGACTGGGAAAATAAGTTTCTATATAATTTTTTTTTTTTCAATTTCTTCACACAACTCAAATTGAGCCTACACTCACTCGCTGTGATGTCAAACAAAATTTTTTTATTGCCAGATATTTGACATCTTTTACCAACCTAAACGCAAGTGCAGCGAATAAGTAGTAAATGTATCTACAAAAATTCATATGTATCTGCGTTACAAAAAGCGCACACAAACAACAGCAAAGACTTGGAGATTTCTTTTTCTCTCCCTCTCTCTTTTAACCTCGATCTCACGCACGATCGGCGACTTTGGCTGCAACTACCCATTTCACTCACCAGCCGTCCATAAGTGTCGACGTCGAGGCGAGATAAACACACGAGTTATCGACGCCGCTGAGAGCGGAGAAATGTTGCCAGCTGCCTGTGTGTTTGCACACTTTTGAACAAATTCATAATTTTCGTCAACGAATTTTATAATTTATTTGCTTGAACATAAACACAAGGCAAATATATATATACTATATGGTAACAAATAATTAATTACGCATTTATTTTTCATTTCTTTCGAACAAAACTACGCATTTTCTTCGATCATTCAATGTTACTTTAAGAAAGGCTATACTGGCAACCTTGTATAGCAACGAAAAATGAGCCGAGCCGGTTTTACGGAAAAATCAAAACTTCGTTGGTTTCTGCGACACAAACGTCAGCAACGCTATGGTAAATCGGTGACAACTTTGTGTTTACATGGCGCTCTCATAAGATAGGTTACTATGGACGGCTGGTACGCTCGTTGGGTAGTTGCAGCCTTTGCAACGATCAACAAATTTGTATTGCGACAATTCTACTGCCCACACTTACAAAATCACACACATACACGTATTCACACACATACTTGAGCCGCATAATAGCGGCTCAGTGAAATGCCAAATGCCAAATGGGAATGTTTTGTTTTGGTTTTTTTTCTTTTGCCTAAACTCTCTCACAAAGAGAGAGAAGTATCTCTTTAAGAAATTGCTTCCGGTTTTGGTTTTCTTCTGGATCTACGCAAACAAAATTTATGTCTGAACAATTGTAGGCAATTCAGAAAAAATATATTTTATGCAGAAAATGATTTGTTTTCGAATAAAGCAATTACTTTTTCGTATAAATAAACAGTTGCACTATATTTTATGCTAACTTTTTCACGCGAAATTCGAATTTTTCACTAAAAACAACTGCGAAAATCTGTCAATAAAATACCGAGTGCAAATCAACAAATTTAATGCGTACATATACATTTCCATTCAGATGTGCTACCGGATCGTTGAAAAATTCAATGTGTCTACTACTCTTTACCACACTCTTAAAAGCGGAAAGTGTACTTGTTTTTAGAAGTCTAAAATTAAAGATTAGAAACTCTAAATGCATAATTTTGAAATTAATTTTAGTGAGTTTCAATGAATTTAGACTCCGCTACAAATATTTAAACTTATTCAAGAAAATGTAATTATTTCTACAATATTTTGTACACAAATTCTTGTGTAGCAGAATACAATTTATTGCAACACTGTAAATATGGCCACTTTTTAAAAACAACTCTATTAAAACTCACACACGGGCGATCGTTTAGCAAGTGTTGCCAGAAGTACAAGCGAGTTGGAAAAAGTTTCAGTTACTAATTGGAATTTATTTGAAAAAATTTAAATTAGAATGTTATTTGTATCATTATTAAAGAAAATGAGTCATGCAGAACTCGAACGCAAAAAAAAAAATTAATTAATAATAATAATAAATAAAAAAAAAGATAAAAAATATATTTTTATTAATTATATAAATTCTTAATTTCTTCTTCTCCTTCTTTACTGGCGTAGACACCGCTTACGCGATTATAGCTGAATATTTAACATTTCATTGGCGCTATTCGGAGATACCAAGTATATCCTGGTGCTTCTCTGCCTGGACTTTCCAACAGCGTCTTCCCCTTCCATCGAAAACTTTCAAAGCTGGAGTATTCGTATCTCTCTGGATCACTTGACCTAGTCGCCGTCGCTGATTCTCGATTGGATTGGATGAATTATCTCGTAATGCTAATCTTTCCATGGTCTACGGTAGTCGTGGTCGCCAATGTGCAAAGGACTATAAATCGTTCGTGGAATTTTTTTTCCCGACTCATCAGATGTTGTCAACGCAAACATTTAATTTAACCAGTACATAAACCAGCTCCGCAGCGGCGCCTTCCCAATTAAGAGACGAGACATTCCAGGTGCATGACTTAAATCCTTCTTTGTAAAAGATTTGAGGTCGTCATCAAAAGGGTTATCCCATCTTAGGCTTGATAATTACGCACTCGTATATAATACGCATAATGACCTTAAGTCATTCGCGAAAAGTCTATACATTGCAATCGTTGTGTAACCGAAGTAACCGTTATTTATACTCGTAGTAGTAAATTCGCGTGCAGTTTCAAAGCTCATAGCATCTTTTGATAAAAAACCATAACCAACAAATGAACATACATTTTTTTTAATACAACTCTATATTTTGATCTAAACAAAAAGTTGAGCTCTCTGGTTTCTTACCCACCACCGGTAAAAAAATGACCTTAATATTCTCATTGAAATATGATTTTTTTCGAATAGATCGGTTCCAGGTGCACTTCCCAACTTGGCTCAGCCATTCATGAGATATTTTTCTTCTTTTGGGGACCACCCTTCCCTGATATTGCGCAAAAATCAGGCAAAGTTTGTATTTTTTATATGGGAGAATAAAATGCGTACGAACTTCCGGCTTGGTTATTAAATTTTTTTATTATTTGAGATTTTAATACGCAAAAACGTGGTGGAAGTTAAAAATGACGGTTACAAAATGATGCCTTTCGTCGGCCTCTATGCGAAAAACATGGCTTAACAACTTCAAATCGGCAGCCTCTTGTAGTAGACTGAAATCAAAAATCGTTGTCATTACTTGAAGATCATGAAATTTTCTACGTCCTGAAAATCAATTGAAACAATTTTAATCATAAATTTATTGCATAATGCTCATTGCAATTATAAAGCTTGAGGTTAGATCGCAAAACATGGTTACGAGAAAAATGCGTTCAAAATTTTTTGAAAGTTCGCAGCGTGTGTGAGACAAGTGTGTTCGAGAAGCTGCCATTTGAAAACATCCTCGAAGATTTCGAAACCCGATATCGTCCACGCTTCTGCACCATATAACAGTAAACCAATGATGAGCGACTTCTAGAGTTCGGTTTTTGTTCGCCGAGAGAGGACTTTACATTTCAATTGTGGAAGACTAGTCGGAAATGCGATGACTGCTTATTTGATGACAGGAAATATTTCGTTTTGCCCCCGTTCACTGCCAGACCCATACGCTTCGTTTCTTTGTCAAGCCTGAAAGAGAGAGAACTAACGGTACGCTTGTGAAGGCCTATGATATCAATGTTATCGGCGTACGCCAACAGTTTATACTCTTTTATAAGGCTTTACTATTCTCTATTCAGCTCCCCTGCACAAAATTGAAGAATTCAAAATTTATAAATTACTACATATATATATATTTATATTCTACATTCTTTTTTAATAACTAATTTCATGTGATTATTGGTCAAGCCCCTCTTTTCGAACTAATATGTACCAGAAGAGACCATTGGGCATACAAATCCATACAATGTAGATGCATATTTGCCAAGTTAAGGGGGGAAGCTGGTCTAGAGCGCAAAAAAATGAGCATATTTTATGAATTTATTTTTACTCAACAAAGGAATTAATTAAAAAACTGTGAAATAGGTTTAATAATTTAGGTTTCATGGTACAAATACAAAATTTTTCGTGTGAATTGATTTCAAAATGGCCGCTGTCCAGCGTTTCTCCGAAGATGCCTTTTTTTTCTTCTAGGTCCATGGTCGAAGACGTAGACTCCTTAATTTTTGTTCTGCATCAAAAAAATATTATTTTTTTCTATATAAGAACAGCAAGAAACGTACATAGAATTTTTTCGATATTTTTTTCGCGCAAAAGTGCATGTTTCAACAAAAAATTATAATTTTCACTGTAAACAACGACATAAATAGTTGTATAATAATAATTGTAGACTAAAAAAAAATCTTTCTACGTAGGGTCTTCGGAGAACAGTATTTCGAATATACTGTCAAAATTTCGTGAGAATCGATGAAGATTTGTTCGAGTTATGTCTTCGGTCAGTTTAAAAAAAAGTGATTTCGAGAAAAACGCGTTTAAAGTTGTAGGTCGCTCGGAGCATACCTGCGAGGCACTGCCGTCGAATGAATAATCTTTTGGTATGTTCTTCCTAAGACCCTAAAGCACCTTTTAAAACAAAAAAAAAATTTCAAATTTTTTAAAAATTCTAGACCAGACTTAAGGGGGGAAAGTTAATTTTTAGTCATAAATGGCTTATATCATCATTATTATTTCGCATTTACAGCGGAGAAAAAAAAAATTATTTATCAATTAGTTAAGTAGAGAGAAGAGTTTGACACAATTTTTATTGAAATGAACTTGAAATTGTTATTTTCAGCTGAGCAATTCCTTCATGGAAATGCAACAAAATATTCAATGAATTTTCTCTCTTGTGTAAGAACATTCAATTTGCGTAATTATTAATTGCCACTCAAAATAATTAAATGTCATAAGCGATAAATTTTAATTAAAGTATGAGATTATGGGTGTATAGATAAACATAACTACATGAATGAGTTTGTGTGTTTGTGCATTTTATATAACGGTTATAAGCGAACCTTTTTTTTAATTATTTCATTTAGGTATTGCAGACTGCGGGCATTCAAATGGAGCCAGGATTACTAGGCATAATAATGATAAATTAAAAGGCTTGGCCTGGTTGCTTTGAAGAGGGAGGTTGAGGATCTGACCGCAAGCAGCCACACCTAAGCCATTGCGCAGACTCATTATCCCAAATAAGTTTGTCCACCTCCGTGAGGGTGGAGTTGGGAACATCGTGGAAGATGTGACATCTCAATCAGCTGAAGGCCGCATACTACAGCTGCAGTGCTCCAGCATTTGGTCATCCACTGCCTATTCCACTTTGTCTAGATTTTGGAGAAGATATGTCAGGGGTAGATGCCCCATTAATACACCCATCAAAAGCCTAAGTTCTATTTTGCTTAATGTAAGTAATAGTTTGGTCTGTCCACTATAAATGCTGCTCCACAATATTTCGGTGGCACGTCCTGCTTTAGAAGAGTTCCAAAACCCTAAGTGTTCCTCCATAATTCGCCGTTTGGCATTGGAAGGCACTAAAAGTCTGAGACAACTTCCATC